GCTGACGCTCTGTCGCGGTTGCCGCCCACTTCAGAGTGCGCTTGCCTCTTGGGTTCGGGGCGTTGTAGGCCTCCGAACATGACCACGGATTCGGTCCTTGTGGCCGCTGCCGATGCGCCTTCAACTTCAGGTCCTATCGAGCAAGAAGGGAGGGATTCCTTGCTGGGGTTGTCCGTTGCGGAGTGGGGATACCTCCAAATGGAGGACACCTCCCTCCTCGCTTTGCGCCGTCGCATCGGGGGGGTTGGTCAGGGGGCGGCGAACGTTGACTTGTGGGGGTTGTTCTAGGGGCTTTTATTGCACTGGGATGGGAAATCCCGCCGCCAACGGCTGGTGGTGCCTTCAGCATTGAGGGGTAAAGTGGTGTGGGCTGCGCGTGAGCGGCTCCTGCACTTGGGGACTCACAAGACCCTTGCCATGCTCCAGCTCGATTTCTTCTGGCCGGGCATGGCAAAGGACGTGGGGGATCTCCTGGGGTCATGCACTCAATGCGCGCAGCGGAAGCCACCAGCGAGGGGGTCCAACCCTCCGCTGCAGTCGATAAAGGTTTCCCGGATTAACGAGCTCGTTGCTTTGGATATTCTCGGGCCATTTCCCGCTACACCCAGGGGAAATAGGTACTTATTGACAGGGGTCGAATATTTCACGAGATGGCCCATGGCCTGGCCTCTGGCCAACCAGTCGGCAGCAGCCATCGCGGAGGCCTTTGTCCAGGGCTACGTCCTCGACAAGGGTGCTCCGGAACGGCTTCTGACTGACCAGGGTAAAAAAATTTCGGGGAAACTCCTCCGCGAGGTGTGCGACCTCTTGGGTACGGAGAAAATTCGGACCTCCCCATATCACCCACAAACTGACGGGATGGTGGAACGGCTGCATCGGACTATCACATCCATGTTGTCCCAGCAGGTATCGGAATCCCAGACCGATTGGGACCTACACATTGCGGGTGTGTTGCAAGCCTACAGGATGGCTCCCCATGCGGCCACCGGATTTTCACCTTTCTTCTTAATGTATGGCCGCGAGGCTAACCCGCCTGTGACGACTCAGCTGAAGCTCTCGGTGCCTCAGGCAAATTCTAAATTTTCCGACCACGTTAAATTTAACATCGGGAAATGAACAGAGGCGCGGGAAGCGGTCGTGCAAAATTCGGAACTCCGCCAAAGGGCGAATGAGAGGCTTAGGCTGGGGCGGGCACATGTGTTCCAATGGAAACCGGAGGACAGGGCATGGTTGCACTGTCCCCAGGTGCCACTGGCGACCTCGTCGAAGCTGGTGCGGCCGTGGCGGGGGCCCGTGGAGGTCATACAGGTCTTGCGGCCGCAATGTGTACGCGTCAAGTGGGAGAAGCGTCGGTGGTACGTGCACCCCTCTAGGTTGAAACCGTTCATTGCGCCGCCCCGTGTTCCTCACACACACACGCGTGGCCAAACGTGTGAGTGGTCCGCCGACTCCCCGGCTTCGCTGCTTTCGCCTAACCTGACACCGACTGTTCCATCTCCAGGTGCACCAGGAGTGACGTGCCCACGACCGCCAACCCCTCCCGGGGGGGTCGGGGGTCACTCAGCAGCGAAGCCGGACACTCTCACACCCGGACTGTCGACACCCGCCACTGGGTGAGCAGGGGCGGCCCCTTGTGACGGGCCCGCCGCGAGAACGCGCGCCAAAACGTGCAGACTTTTGTGAGGTCGGCCGTTGGGGGGCCCTTGCGGAAGGAGGGGGGGGCGTCCGGGGTACGTGTATATATGTTGGTTTTACGGAATGGGGTATTTATTCAGGGGGGGTGCGTCGGGTTATTTTTCTTTTTCCTGTTGTTATTGTTGTTCTTGTTAAAATTACGTGAGGCACACACGCGTTTGGGGGGGGGATGCACCTTTATTGTGATTTTGTTGCAGCCGGGGACGGCTGCGGGCTGTACAGGGGGGGGTGATGTAGAGGTGTAATTGTAAAGATGTATGGGCACGGATGGGTAACAAACACAAGGGGCGTGGTTAGGGCCGTACACAGAGGAGGTGCTCACACCGACGTCCGCACCTGCATCCCCCACGGGCCCCTCCCGGGGGCCGAGTGCTATAAAAGGTGGTGAGCCGGAGGGCTCGAGGTCGAGTGTTAGCTTTAACCAGCGAAGAGTGAAGACCAGCTAGAATAGGCCCCGGAGCTCCCCTGGCTCGCTGTCCTTGTCAGGACCGACCAGGGCAAGCCGGTGGCGTGGCCCCGAGAGCCTAGACTGACGTTCTTATAAGAGCCGGTCTGGAGACTCAGGGTGCCGGGATCCCAGCTTGACCAGGGCTGGGATAGGTAGCCTCCCCTAGCTCCGTAGTGGAGGACTCGGGCGTAGGTTAGCGGGGTTAGATGTTGTGTCTCCCTGTTAGACGAGTGAAGGGGACGATACCCCTTCAAGTGCTGTGTATTCCCGTTACTGTACACAAGTTGGTATTAATAAATAAGTGTGCCTCCACCCACGTCGTCCATGCCTCCTGCAACTTACTACACTTGTAACGCTTTTCACTGCCAAACTATTGGGTTTACGTGATCAAAAAAAGTACACAGATACAACAAACTAAGCCCCCGGGTGAACACTTGCTATTGGTTTTTGCCTTTAGTTCAATGTAAACTAAGAAAATCACACTTTGTAGGGCCAGTAGATACTACTGTAGAGTCAGTAGATACTACTGTAGAGTCAGTAGATACTACTGTAGTGTCAGTAGATACTACTGTAGAGTCGGTAGATACTACTATAGAGTCAGTGGATACTACTGTAGGTCCAGTAGATACTACTGTAGAGTCAGTACATACTACTGTGGTGTCAGTAGATACTACTGTAGAGTCAGTAGATACTACTGTAGAGTCAGTAGATACTACTGTAGTGTCAGTAGATACCACTGTAGTGTCACTGTAGAGTCAGTAGATACTACTGTAGAGTCAGTAGATACTACTGTAGAGTCAGTAGATACTACTATAGTGTCAGTAGATACTACTGTAGTGTCAGTAGATACTACTGTAGAGTCGGTAGATACTACTGTAGTGTCAGTAGATACTACTGTAGAGTCAGTAGATACTACTGTAGTGTCAGTAGATACTACTGTAGAGTCAGTAGATACTACTGTAGTGTCAGTAAATACTACTGTGGTGTCAGTAGATACTACTGTAGTGTCAGTAGATACTACTGTAGAGTCAGTAGATACTACTGTAGTGTCAGTAGATACTACTGTAGTGTCAGTAGATACTACTGTAGAGTCAGTAGATACTACTGTAGTCAGTAGATACTACTATAGAGTCAGTAGATACTACTGTAGAGTCAGTAGATACTACTGTAGGATCAGTAGATACGACTTTAGAGTCAGTAGATACTACTATAGAGTCAGTAGATACTACTGTAGTGTCAGTATATACTACTGTAGAGTCAGTAAATACTACTGTAGAGTCAGTAGATACTACTGTAGTGTCAGTAGATACTACTGCAGAGTCAGTAGATACTACTGTAGAGTCAGTAGATATTACTGTAGAGTCAGTAGATACTACTGTAGTGTCAGTAGATACTACTGTAGAGTCAGTAGATATAACTATAGAGTCAGTAGATACTACTATAGAGTCAGTAGATACTTCTGTAGGGCCAGTAGATACTTTAGAGTCAGTAGATACTACTTATTCTATTGCATGTTGGGTGTATGCCTACAAAATAAAATAAATTGGGAGTGGGGGGGGCTCGACAATATTTGTAAACCTGTTAGATAAACTTTTGCTCCCACTTTCTACAGCTTTTTGATTCAAGTCTTCTGAAAGACTCTTATAATTATGTTGATGGACAAATGGACAAATGGAACGCCGGGCTTTCATAATAACTTACCATTTGTGTATGGATATGTCATGTTTTTCAAGAGAAGACAAGTTTTAAAATTAATATTTCCCCCCGGGTAAAGCCGGGTACTTCCTGCTGGTAAATAATAAATCCGTTCTAACAGCCACTCCATTTATGGCCGGAAATGAATTCGCATTTTGTGGTCAAACCTCGCTTTAATACAAATCGTGATATCATCGCAAAGTCTAGACCCGTGCAATATTTAAACTGTCGACTTTTAAAGCAAACAAACAACAACAGTATAATAATAATAGGTTTTGGCAATGAAACACTTGTGTTAAGCTGTTCAAACACCAAACAGACACCTTTTATGCAAGGAACGAAGACAATGTCATTTTTTTTACAAGAGCATTGCGTTTGTTTGCATGCTCACCCCACAAGTGTGGTGACTGCAGACTTGATTTCTTGCAAAAGGTTTCTGTTTGACGTTTTAACATCTTAACACAAATGTTACTGGTAGGAACCTCCTGGTTACACCAGCTCACAGGGGATTATTGTGTCCGTCTGTCCGTCGTGCATCCAAAAATGGGAGGGTGGGGCTGGGGTGGGGAGGGTGGGGCTGGGTGGGGGGGGCTGGGTGGGGAGGGGCTGGTCACCCCGTGGTGCCCTTATAAAACTCAACGTTTAAACGTTTAAACGTTGAGTTTTATAAGGGCACCACGGGATGATCAGCCCCTCCCCACCCAGCCTCACCCCCCCACCCAGCCCCACCCTCCCCACCTAGCCCCTCCCCACCCAGCCCCTCCCCTCCCTCCCCACCCAGCCCCTCCCCTCCCTCCCCACCCAGCCCCTCCCCACCCTCCTCTCTCCACCCAGCCCCTCCCCACCCTCCCCTCTCCACCCTTCCCACCCTCCCCACCCAGCCCCTCCCCACCCTCCCCACCCAGCCCCTCCCCACCCAGCCCATCCTCACCCTCCCCTCTCCACCCAGCCCCACCCCTCCCATTTTTGGATGCACGACGGACGGACGGACACAATAATCCCCTGTGGGCTGGTGTAACCAGGAGGTTCCTACCAGTACCATCATTATATTATTGCTCCTCCCGTTGCTGATTCGACGTGGTTTGGCTTGAAGGGGGGGAGGGGTCAATGGCGGTGTGGGTGTGCGAACGATCCGCCAACTTTTTTTTGGTCGGAGCGCCGCCCGCGAATCGGTGGGCGGCTCAATGAAGCGGCCAAGGCCGCGTGAGGCGTCTCAGACGCAAGGCCGCAAGCTCCGAGGGTTCCGCGCTCGTTTCGCCTCTTGAACAAAAAGCGGCAAAGAAGGCGACAATGTCGGTCAGATTCATCGCCGTGGTGGCGGCGATCGTCGTCCTCACGAAAGGTGACGTGTTCGCGTCGTCGTCGTTACGGACGGTGTCGTTTGTTTGCTATTAAAGCGAAGAAATTGCGTGCTCTATGAGACGGCGCGCTCGCCTGCGTGTTTTGGGCGTCGTCCGTGAGCCGTAGACGATGATAAAGTTTTAACGCGTTGTCATAAAAATATGCCATTAATTTACACAAAATAGGAAGGGGTTCCGCGTGGAATGAGATGAGACGAACGAAAATCGGACGCGGCGTACGTGAATAAAAAAATGGAAAACCCCCGAACAGGAAGTTAAAACCGAAAGTAGATTTTTAAAAGTTAATATTTGTGTATTTATGGCTGTAACTATAATTTACACAAAATAGGAAGGGGTTCCGCGTGGAATGAGATGGGATGAACGAAAATCTGACGCGGCGTACGTGAATAAAAAAATGGAAAACCCCCGAACAGGAAGTTGAAACCGACAATAGATTGTTTTTCAAGTCCAGATTTGTGTATTTATTGCTGTAACTATAACACATTTTACTATAACATATTGTCGCCTTTATTACGAGTGTAACGCCTACATTAAGCGTTGATTTATGATGAGTTTTTTTCCCTCGATGGTAATGTTGGCAGTCCTCAAACAACCCTACCCCACATTTGACCAGCGTGGTGAAGTATGGTCGTTAAAGTCACGCAGTTAAAACAATAAATAAAATAAATGAAAACAACTCAATTAAATCACGACGTTTCGGAGGCACAACAAAGCCTCCTTCATCAGGTGTAAAAAGGCACAGAAATAACTTTTTATACCTGATGAAGGAGGCTTGTGTTGCCTCCGAAACGTGATTAAATTTAGTTGTTTTCATTTATTTTATTGTTTTACCAACGTGACTTTACCGAAAAAAAAACCCAAAGAGTTTGAATCCTTGCAGTCACGGAAGCTTCAAATCTAGAATTAATAACGGAGACTTGTGTTGCCTCCGAAACGTCGTGATTTATTATTTTATTTCTATTATTATTTCTATTATTTGTATTATTTATCTTTATTTTTACCTACGTAACTTTACCGAAAAAAACCCCAAAGAGTATGAATCCTTGCAGTCACGAAAGATTAAAATCTATAATTATGGTCAAGTCAGCCACACGAATTGCCTCTACAGTGTCAGAGGAGGGGGGGGGGTTGAAAGGCTTCCATTCAGCAATTGCTTTAGGATTTACCTGGACATTATTCTTATTCTGACACTGGTAATAAAGGAATAACATTTTACAAGGTAAGGGGCCGTCCATAAATGACGTCACGCACCTAGGGGGGGGGGGCAAAGCTTTGTGACGTCATATTTGAGGGGGGGGGGATCAAAAATTGTCCGAAATCGCGTGACGTCATTTATGACGACACATTTATATATTTACGCGATCTAACCCCAAAAAAACCCTCTAGTTTTTGGATAATATTGGTCGTGAAAACCCTACTACGCATTAATCCAAATGTATAGCAGGCGTCTGGGTCAGGATCGAAGCCACGATTTCCTGTATACTTAGTGAGGTAGTTAACATCTCCTAGCCACTATTTCTTCCTAGCGTTGTTCCCGCTGTGGCGCAGGGTCCGCTTTTCGGCATTGTCTTCTCCATTTGGCTCGGTCCAGGGGATGCGTTGACCGTCTTCATGTCTTCCTTTATTCGATCCATCGCTTCTTCGGACGTCCGCGTGGACGGCGGCCCTCTGGCTCAATACGCACGGCAGTCTTGGCCACCGATGACTCTTCACTTCGCATCACATGGCCGTACCACCGAAGCCTTGCCTCAAGCATCTTGTCCGCAATGGGGGCCACACCAAGTCGCTTCCGAACGTCTTCGTTCCTGACACGATCCCATCGAGTGAGTCCGAGGCTCCATCTGAGCATCCTCATCTCCATGGTGTGGAGAGCTTGTTCTCCTAGCCACTACGTAGCTTCCAAATTGAACACTTGTGATTCGATCTTGATTTGAAGCTTTCGTGACTGCAGGAATCCATACTCTTTGGTTCTTTCGGTAAAGTCACGTTAGGTAGAAAAATAAAACAAAATATTAAAATATTACACGACGTTTCGATCGCAACACAAGCGTGATTCGCACAGGCCACACGCACAAAGCGCTTGAATCCAGTTCACGTTTATCGTCTAACTTTGTTTCCTGTAACCGCAAAGTTCTCTGGCAGTTGACCTGTTGTAGTTGGTGTTAAACAAAGATAAAGATCTCCCGTGTAGCCTTTAACAGGCTTGCGGGGCAAGTGCTGTTAGCGAGGAGAACCTATGAAGGCCGGAACGGCACACGAGGGGGCGGGTGGCCAGCACCACGCCCGGCCGCCTTTGTCTCCCCAGTGGCGATGTTTACTACACACCGCACCAGGTACTCATTTGAGGCCGAGTCGACCTAGGGGAGGCCCAGGACCCGTTCAGATAGTCGTCACTGTTGTTAGCCGTGAGCGGAGAATCGAACTCGGGTCGCCGGGTTCGTAGCGCAGCATTGCTCACCACACCACCGCTCCCACCACAACTCCACGACCCACGGTGCGTTGATCACCCTGCCGATGGGTTACTGGCGCACTACACGTCAGAGGTCGCAAACGGGTTTTGATTCCTTACCCGTACCCGGCCGCACCAGGGTCGCAAACGGGTACCTGTACCCGTACGGGTATCGGGTACCCGATTGCGACCTCTGGGATGAAGCCATGTTGCAGGCGCGGGTGGGTTGATTCTAGGAACTTGAATTGTGAGAAGAGAAAAGACGTTGGGAAATGAGTGACAAACGGTGACTCACCAGTGACTCACGGCCTACCCGTACCCGGCCGCACCAGGGTCGCAAACGGGTAGCCGGGTATCGGGTAGGGTATGGGTATGGGTATCGGGTACCCGGTTGCGACCTCTGCTACACGTTGGGGGGGGTGGTAGGAATGATGTTTGTGTGCATTTTCACGTTTGTAAAGAAACAACCGCCGCATACGCCGATTGCCGATTTCGCAAGAGCTTGTTAAGCAATGACTCTGGGGGGCTACGGTCGTTATTTAAGTATTTATATAGCCACGTCAATGTAATGAGAGAGACTGTAAAGCCGCACCAGCAAGCCAAACCATAAGGATGGCGTCTTAGCGTGAGAGCCGAGGTTTTTTTCTCGTGTTAAAAGCACACGATGATGCTGCTTGTAATCTCCAGCGAAACCTGTAGAAGCCTACTTTATAAATGTTGGCCTGCTTTTCCAACTTCCCTGATAACAAACTCAACGGGCATTGCGTCATTTACCGCATGACTGGATTCGATTGGCTCTGGTCGGATTGGTTGAGGGTGAAACCGTAGTTTTAACAAAAAAACATCACATTTTACGATCTAACCCCAAAATGAACTCGCCTATCAAAATATTTGTCGTGAAGGCTTCCGTGTAAAATGTACGAGTCGCTGTCCTCAAAAGCTGGTCATTGGGCGGCGACCGTCTCTTCAGCTCTGAACTTGTTCATTTGTTCGACAAATCTTGCGACAAAGATATTCAAAGGCGAGCTAAAAAGCTCTTTTTCACAGGTGTACTGTAGGGGCAGGTCTGAATGTTACAACAAGCAATACAAACACACAGTGAGTGCAGAGTACACTATAGTAAAGAGTAAACAAATCACTTTATTTATAAAATTAAACCTTTTTTTATCTTAGCAGGTAAAACCCCACTGAGATATTAGCTTTTACATTGTTTAGGGAAAACAAATTAAATATTTAATTACCAATTGTTTAATACTGCAGACAATCATCTGACCCATAGGTGGCAGCCATCTCAAGCCAGAGGACGAGAGGACTCTAGACGCCACGCATATAAAGGATTTATAGTGAAAAACTTTGTTTTTACTGGTTATACTTGTTCACAGGTGTACTGTAGGGACAGGTCTGAATGTTACAACAAGCAATACAAACACACAATGAGTGCAAAGTACACTATAGAAAAGGTAAACAAATCACTTTATATATAAAATTAAACCTTTTTTTATCTTAGCAGGTAAAGCCCCACTGAGATATTAGCTTATTTTTCAGAAGTGTCTTGGTCACAAACGATAGCCTAACGAAGTGGCCTCATCACCACATGGAAATTTACAGCAGCACCAAAATAAACAATAGCAGGTCTAATTGAATGCAATCTTAAATATTCTTAGGTTTTTTCGGTAAAGTCACGTAGGTAAAAAAATTTAATTAATAAAAGTAAAATGAAAAAAAAATCACGACGTTTCGGAGGCAACAAAAGCTTCCGTCTTCAGGTGGAACGTCACAGCACGATAGCTGTATAAAGTGAGAAGAAATAAGCGAGCTTGGGCAGGACCTGCCATGGCTTAAAGAGACCGTGTCCAGTGGTCATGACCATTTCCAGTGGTTAGCCAAAGGAAGGGACACACCCAAAGAATAACCTCTCCTTGGAGTTTGTTGTGCTCCTCCGTATACCGTATTTTGTTGATATTTCCAAATCTTTCCACTGTCATTGTGCCCCCCCCCCCCTCTCCGTATAGCCTTTAACATACTGTTAGGGGCATGTGCTCTTAGTGAGCAGCTAGTGAAGGCCGGCATGGTGCATGAGCAGGTGATTTGAACAGCGCCACACACGGCCAACTTTGCCTCCCCAATGCTCGCGTATATACACTGCGCAAGGCTACTCGGTTAAGGCTGAGGCGACCTAGGGGGTCCCAGAACCTCAGATATGAGCGGGAATTGGACTCGGGGTTCGTAGCGCAGCGTGCTATTCACAATGTATTTTTCGACCTCTTTCTCCATGAACTTTTGCTTACGATGCTATTTCTATTGCTTTTTGGTGGCATTCTTTCTGACGTGAGCGTACCCTAGCAGTCTTTCTTCCTCAATTCTTGCGGTTGTAAGATAAAAATTAGCGTATAAAAATAACTGCAAAAATTCCCTTTCAGAATTGGGGAGGGTGGTGAAAATTGAATGGTAAAATAAAGGCAACTTCCAGCTGGGCGATTCATTGGAAGGGTTCATGATGGCCTAGAGCAGTGTTTATTCTTATAGCCATAATGTTTTAACACGGTGGCTAAGAGATGTTAACTACCTCACCTAGTATGCAGGAGGTCGTGTGCTCAATCCCGACCCTGACGCCTGCTGTATATTTGGAAGGTGCATGTTCTCGCCGTGGGCACGTGGATTTTTCTTCGGGTCCTCCGGGTTTTCCCTCCTCATTTATAAACATTCCAATATTTGGCTGTTATCATTTTCCACATGATAAGCAAATTCGTTGAGTTACCATTTGTGGCCAGGTCGTTTCTCAAAAAGGGCCTCACCTGGTAAAGTAAAAAAAGTTCAATAACACCGCCTACAAGGGGTGTGATCACATTTGTTTATTGTCGGGGCAGGGGCTACATGTCAGGGGCCGCACTAAAAGGCCACCAACTGCTGAAGTGTTGTGTTCAAGCAGCAGGATTTCTGTCTGCCGCGTTCTCTTGATCAGGGGGTTCGCAATGTCCGTTGTCAAACACGGAGTCTATCGGCGTGGGTGGTGTTGATAAATATTTTTCGGTGTTTTTCCGCGTCGCAAAATGTTCAGGAGCTATAAATGCCTTTGTCGAGCTCTGCGAGCCACAGGAGGAGAGAGTCCGTGTAGTTTTCTTTTTGCTCCATTGAATTAGCGCGGGCTGCATTGGTTTACTATATAGCCCATGGTTTGGGTTGCATGCCAAAAACTGGCCATCTCTCGTTCACTTATGAACGAGAGATGTGTTAGCGGCATACGTGTTGTGTTTTCATGTTACCTCGTCCGGTGGCCACGAAAGTCATTTGTTTTGATCCAGATGTGTTGATACGCTACCCCCTTCTACCAGCCTCATCCACTATCACACTCAACCCATTCCTCCTTCAACCCCCCTGGCACCATCACATCCTTCCTCTGCTGCCACATCTCATTCCTTTTACAAACACGGTTACTAACGGCCATACTACCCCACCCATCCTTCCCTTATTTTGACATTTTGTACCATGGTCGGAAAGCTTTGTCAAGCGCCTTGGCGAAAGGTGCTGATGGTAATGATAAGAAATGTTACTTTATGATGATGGAGTTGCTCAAATTACGTCACTTATTTAAGGCCCCAGGATGATGGGTGATTTTTGACGGTTCTGGCCATCGACTGATGATGCAGGTTGGATGATGCTGGTTGCAACTCCCAATAAAACGTGGACACCTACTTGTTAATTGCGTGCGGGTTACTCTCCAACCAACTGGGTGTGCCGAAGCATTCAAAATGTGAGCGCTTTGTTCGCGTGACTTCCTTATTTTCATTGCCAATGGGTGGAGGAGGGTGCACGACACAACATTACCATTTTATTTCGATTTAAAGCGTTCGTGACTGCAGGGATTCATCTTCTTTGTTCTTTCGGTAAAGTCACGTAGAAGAGAAATAATAAAATAATAAAAAATTATACATAATAAAATAATTCTCACGACGTTTCGGCCACAACGCATGCTAACCCTACTCCCTCCCTTTGATGCTGCTAATCCTGCATAATGCACGGGCATAATATGACTTTGAAACCCCCCGCCCACCTCCTACGCATTCCACAAGTAGTGACTAGTCCCATATCTGCATTTCCCATAAATATGCTAAATTCCTCTTGATATGCAAATTATTTTGTCTAGGCGCTCTTCCCCCTTTCAACCCAGCTTAAATATACGCTGCCAAGCCTGGTGGTGTTCATTCAGACGCTGTCTTTCCGACAGACCTGTTTTTCACCTGAGGACGGCTGCTGGTGTTGTGGCCGAAACGTCGTGATAATTATTTTATTATGTTTATTATTTTTATTATTATTTTATTATTTCCCTTCTACGTGACTTTACCGAAAGAACCAAGAAAATTACCATTTTACTCGCGTTGCGATCTGACTTCTGTAAAAAATAATTGGCCATTTCACTTGGAGTTCGATATGCCATGTCGGCAAGTTGGTGTGCCGTGGCACCCTTGGGAGGGCCGAGAGAATTGTTTCCAAACCGTCCTGCTCGGCATCTGCGAGTTCTTTTTCCCGTGAAGATAGCGCCGAGTTGACAATGGTTGCCTTGGCAGGAGCTTCCTGTAAATGTGTGATGGACTAATTCTTCTGGCACACATCGGGGGGGACGTAGACCAGTGACCGGATGTCTGGCTCGTAGAGATTTCCCTTATTTTTTATTACAGACTGAAAAAGTGGCTTTAATCCTCGTCAAATGTGTTGTGTGGAGGCATGTTTGAATGGAACCCTGGAGGTTTGTATTGGCTATGCAGGAACACCACGCAGTGCGTGTCTCTTGTCTCTCAAAAGGGTTCATCATGGCAGCACTGCGGAGATTCTGTGTTTAAAATCTGCTCTTGGTGTCGCCATCAGCTGGTTAATAATCGGAATCGGAATCTGAATTTGTTCTGGAGACATCCGATGAGCTAATGAAGCTCTTTATCACATATGTCCCGAAGGGGCGGGTCAGAAAGTAACAACAACCAACAATACAAAAATAACACTGGTCAACACACTTTTTCTGGCATAAGGTATTCCAACGGTTTTAAGGTAATTTTGGGGTGCTGATTCCAAATCTGGCATCAAATATTGCATTTTCAATAAAAACTGCAGAAGAAAAATATTAAATTAATGTGGATATCTACATAAAATGATATTATAAACACACTATCTTAAGAATACAGCACCATATTTTAACACTAAAACAGTCACTGACTCGCAACAACTTGCAATCATAAGTGACAGAGTTATTTCGGGTAAAATCAATGAAAATGGGGTATGCCGATAGCATAAAAATGAGATCAAATTTGGAATCGGCACCCTAAAATTAGTCTAAAACAGCTGCAAAAGTCCAGGCCAGAAAAAAACGTTTTTTTGTTGACCAGTGTAATTGAAGTGAAACTGAGCGAAGGGGGGGGGGCTTCTCTCCAGGGGAGCAATGCTCTGGCAACTGGTGGGGGAGGGGGGGCAAGAAGGAAGTGGCTTGGCAAGGCTTGTAACATAAACACCGCCCCCCCCCCCATACAGATGTAAATTAACCCGCTTGCTGTACTGCCACTGGTAACACTTCTCATCAGCCAAGCGGTGGATCAGATTTGGAATCAGCACCCTGAAATTAGTCTAAAACAGCTGCAAAAGTTCAGGCCAGAAAGAATTGTTTTTTTGTTGTTGACCAGTGTAATCATGCCAAGTGGTGGTGGTGGTGAGACTGTAAGAGCTTTCCTTGAAGGAGGGGTCAACTGAGGAGACCAAAGCCGGAGTTGGTGGTGGTGATGTAGCAGAAGCAGGCCAGCAATGATGAGGTGCCAAGGGCATTCGTGGAATTCCCCGGGGAGACCTCTTCTAGTGCGAGTGGTGACAGTGGGATTGGTGGTAGGGTTTGAATTCAACGCCTCTTTATAAAACCAATTACATTTTCTGTTTTTCAACAGCCGATGCGAAGACAATGATCAACGTCACCAGTGGAGATTCCGCAAAGATGGTGTGCAGCTATGTTGGTACGTGTGCGTAATCGCTCGATTTTCTCCGGATAATATGTTTTCATTTGTGTGCGTTTAAATCAAAAGTTGGAAGTGTGTCTTGTAATCCAGTATTATTATTACATTTGTTTACACGGAAAAGCCTCACCGGGTCTCACAATACTGTTTCAGGAGAATCTTTGCTAAGTTTTCTGTCACATTCTGGACCACAAGTATTATTCGTTTACCAATAAAAAAAAAAATTGGAATTTGGCACATTTTAATGATTGTGTGCGAGCCCAGATTCATGTAACTTTATTAACGTTTGTGACCCGTCGACTCACAGACACCCATAATGTACACACTCAGACTTGCAAAGTTATCCATCGACTTGGACAACTATGGACTCACAGTAGAGATCCATAGCCTCACACGGGGACCCAGAGTCTCGCCAGGAAATCCACGAGCTCGCAAAGTGACCCATGGGTTGGAGGCTCATAGACTCGCACAATTGACCCTTGGACTCGCACAGAGACCCATGGGTTCACACACAAGTTCAAGTTAATGTATTAGGTGTAGCCCTGTGAGCCATTCGGCTATTGAATCGGGTGCAACCGCAACAAACAAAAACATGAACAAGAAAACATCTTAAAGTGACTATGTGACTAAGTGCAAACAGAAAATCCAAGAAAAGACAGCAAAATATTGCAGAAAAAACACCGTACACCAACGCTGTGTGCAAAAATCCCAGTGGGATGCATGTCAAACAACAACAACAACCACAAGACAACTTAGATTAAGGCCATCAGTCTTACTACGTACTACAACAAACAAACATGGCTAAACGAATACACTTTTCGAAATCGCCAAAATAAAGCCATGAAAGCAATGTAACAGTGATCATAGGGACTGTGACGGAGTTTTCACAATAAATGACATAAACAACATGTACTACCAAAACCCTGCAGCCATAGCTGGCTGCATGAGTCACTCATGCACAGTGACCCATATACTCTCACAGTGATCCATAGAAAACATGCGGCAGATATTGATATCCGCTTGTGAGCGATAAGTCCATAACTTGCCGTGGTTGTCTGTGGCATGCTCTTTGCAGCAGCGGCAAACGTTACTTTCACGCAGATGGAGTGGACAAAGACTAAAGACAATACAGTGGCGATACTCAACCCGAACAACATGATATACATCCCGGTAAGATTTAAAATGATAATTGTTTTTTTTACTCTTTTTATCTGGCAACAAAACTGACACCTTTTTTACGAGGAGTCATGTTTGCATAGACCACAATACCTGCAGTCACAATGCAAACAAAAAACATAACTCTGATAATGTATGCACTGTCCTTGAAGTTGATTGGTCCACACCCGAGACAGCTTTCCTTAGAGCCTAGTCTCACATGGGATGGACCAGATGACGCCAAAAGGCGCACAACTCAAAGACAATGCACCATCAGAGTATGAGAGCTCGGGGTAAAAAAAACAATTATCATATTTGTTACTGGCAAATGAGGTACCAATGGTGTAAATGCTTACCCCTAGCTCTCATACTCTGATGGTGTATTGTCTTTGAGTTGTGCGCCTTTTGGCGTCATCTGGTCCAACCCATGTGAGACTAGGCTCTAAGGAAAGCTGTCTCGGGTGTGGGCCAATCATTCTCAGAGATGGAATTTGATCAAATTATTTGCTCAACCAAATGTATACCCGAGTATCGATTTATTGTGCAGTTATTCGTTACTGGGCCGGTGCCAGCTGCAACCTCCCGGGTTTGTCCCCGAGATCTCAGCTCATCGGAAGTTTAAATCACATTCCAGCTACACTACCCCTCTTGTAAATCTGTAACCACCACTGTTACAGATTTACAAGATTGTACATCTGTAATAAAGGTCGTTGAGGCGACTTCTGGAATCCGGTCTTTTATTCACTTTTCATTACAGCTCTCCTTCATGCTGCTGACAGGCAGCGTGAGAGGGATAGAGAGGGAGAGAGACATGCGCAGCCACGTGGCAACCCGGAGCCCCGCTCTCGCGTGGCCTCCTCCTCCGTTCGTTCCCGTTCTGACCACGGGTTGTTCGTCTCCACCCCTATTTAATACCCGGGTCACGTGGTACGTTTCCACCAATCCCGGTTAGCTTCTATGGAATATTCCAGACTCCATCGTAGGCTCCCGGGACCACGCCCCTGACTCGTCTCCCCATTGGCTGTGGCTAAAGCCAGCAGAACCAATCCTCTACTTACAGCTGTCACCTTTCCATCACGTCAGGGCCACACCCCTAGGCTTCCCCCCATTGGCTATGGACCAGGACCGGCAGAGCCAATCATCGTGACGAGTTCTAATCCGTCAACGACCCGGATATAACCTCACATTTCATCTCCTGAAAGAAAAAAACTAACTTTAATATTATTCCCTTTTCAACCATTGCACAATCATTCACTCAACGGTGCCGGCCCCAGCGTATTTGGACCTTCCTGAGTCTCCCGGCCACCTCTCAATACCCCACCCCCCCCCCGTCGCCCCTTGTTTTGCCCAGGACAACTACTTGGGTCGTGTGACCATGGGCGTTCTGCACGACGAGGCTTCTGAAATTGTAATCAACAACGTCACCCCAGCGGACGAGGGCGATTACAAGTGTTCGGTGACTACCTTCCCGCCCGCAGCCAGAGAAATGCATTTCACTCTCAAGGTCAATGGTGAGTGGGGCTGGGTGGGGAGGGGCTGTGTGGGGAGGGTAGGGAGGGGCTGGGTGGGGAGGGTGTAGAGGGGCTGGGTGGGGAGGGTGGAGAGGGGCTGGGTGGGGAGGGTGGAGAGGGGCTGGTTGGGGAGGGTGGAGAGGGGCTGGGTAGGGGGTGGGGCTGGGTGGGGAGGGTGGAGAGGGGCTGGGTGGGAAGGGTGGAGAGGGGCTGGGTGGGGAGGGGCTGGTCACCCCGTGGTGCCCTTATAAAACTCAACGTTTAACCTACTCACGCCGGCTTGTGCCCGCCCTCACAGTCGGCCATATTTGCGGAATACGCCACGCCGCCGTTGACCCTGGCCATTGACCGAGCAACCCAACGTTCCTACCAGCTCCCTCTGCAGGAATGTGTTTTATAATGGGTTGGTTGGAGGCGTCTTCATGAAGGTTTGAAGGTGAACCCTCAACAGCGGGATTTAAAAAACAACGCATCTTCTGGAAGACCTGCGACATGTTCTCCGGATTACAACACGTACAGTAGAACCGCTCTTTAACGACTAATCGCTTAACGATGGGCCTCAATAGAGCCCAATGTGTAGTGTATAGTAGTGTATAGTAGTGTAGTGTATAGTAGTGTAGTGTATAGTAGTGTAGTGTATAGTAGTGTTATAGTGTAGTGTGTAGTAGTGTAGTGTATAGTAGTGTTATAGTGTAGTGTATAGTAGTGTAGTGTATTGTAGTGTATAGTAGTGTAGTGTATAGTGTAGTGTATAGTAGTGTAGTGCCTCCATAGAGCCCAATGTGTAGTGTATAGTAGTGTTATAGTGTAGTGTATAGTAGTGTAGAGTATAGTGTAGTGTATAGTGTAGTGTATAGTAGTGTATAGTAGTGTTATAGTGTAGTGTGTAGTGTATAGTAGTGTTGTAGTGTAGTGTATAGTAGTGTATTGTAGTGTATAGTGTAGTGTATAGTAGTGTAGTGCCTCCATAGAACCCAATGTGTTTTGTTACTGACCATTCCCCTGTTAGCAACGGGCTGTTGAAGGTACATTAGATATTAATCAATGCATTGATTAACTGTGTCTATTTTAATATGATATGTTTATGGTGTTGTTAGTATCTTTACCTATTAACATCCATTGTTTACATATTATAAAGTACTTTTTTTGGGTGAGAATGTTTAACTTTCAATGCTATCGGAACTAATGAAACCTTTAATGTTTCTTTCCTCTTCCTCGCTTGACCAAATCTACGACCGGTTTCGTCGAACCAATTACCGTCGCCGAGAGGGGTTTTTCTGTACTCAACCTTAGCATTTAATATACTTATATTTTGGGACAACATAGTAAGAGAATCACGGCCGAAATTGTTATCGTGTCGAGCTCAATATTCCTCCGCCTTTTCTCACAGCTCCTCCACCGCCGCCGACGCCGCCGAAGCCGCCGACACCAAATTGGAGCGCCATCATTTTGGGGGTTCTTTTTGTATTCGCGGCAATCGCCGCAGTAGTGTTTGCCTACCTTTGGAAAAAGAATGAAAAAAAGTAAGTAAAGAACTTTCGGTGCACGTCTTGTGTCGTGTGCGCTGGCACGGACGGATTAGGGCGCGCCGTGGTGGCTGGGAGATGTTAACTACCTCGCCTGGTCTGCAGGAGGTTGTGAGTTTGATCCCGATCCTGACGATGCCTGCTGCTGCATATTTAGAGTTTGCGTGTTTTTCATCATCATCAAGGGGTGGCTAGGAGATGTTAACTACCTTGCATTGGTATGCAGGAGGGTCGTGGGTTCGATCCCGACCCTGACGATGCAGGGGGAGGGGCAGCTCGGACAGTACATTTCATTAAAGCGTGTGTTTTTTTTAAGTATTTTAAAATATTTTATTACCTCCACATTTAGAAGCATGCGCTAAGAGCATTTTGCTCCAATGCATTGCCATGTGATGAGCCACTTCATTGGGCAATAGTTTTGGCTAGGTTACTTCTGAAAAAAAATCTCATAGCTCAGTGTTCCTTACCTGGTAAAATAGAAATACAGTAATCCCTCGCCACTTCGCGGTTCAAGTTTCGCGGCCTCAGTGCATCGCTGATTTTTCCAAAATATTCATCGAAAAATAAAAACTAAATAATACCGCCATATCGGCAGCCGTATTGCGGAAAACAGCGTTGTTTCATCGTGATGCGCGAGAGAAACGGTTTCCCAGGATGCTTTGTACATACCCACGGGCACTCGGACAAGGCACGTGATTGGTTCCCGGCGCGAGATCGCCGAATGAGAGCACGAAATTCCTAGGGGCGCCAATCCTACTTCGCGGATTTTCACCTATCGCGAGGGGTTCCGGTCCCCATTAACCGCAATAAACGAGGGATTACTGTACTTAATAGTTCCGTTGATGGGCAGGTTGCGTGTGGCGGGGTAAAGCGTGGATATTTGCCCCCACTTCCAAGACTAAACTAAAACTTTTTTTTATTATACCAGGGTAAGGCGCCTTTGCCTCAAATTATCTCGAGCAAGCGATCGCAGGGATGAGTTTTTTACCTTCGTAGATACGGGGGGGACGGGGGGGGGGGGCAATCGCAAGAGAAGGAAAACATTTCCTGTAAATAGCAGTTTTATTCTTATAATCTCGGCAGTAAACACCAGGGCTTGACTGATTTCACTGGTCAATACACTTTTTCTGGCATAAGGTATTCCAACGGTTTCAAGGTAATTTTGGGGTGCTGATTCCAAATCTGGCATCAGTTTTTTGAGCTATCAAATATTGCATTTTCAATAAAAATTGCAGAAGAAAAATATTAAGTAAATGTGGACATCTACATAAAATGATATTATAAACACACTATCCTAAAAATACAGCACCGTATTTTAACACTAAAGCAGTCACTGACTCGCAACAACTTGCAATCAAAAGTGACAGAGTTAATTTCGGGTAAAATCAATGAAAATGGGGTATGCCGATAGCATAAAAATTAGATGTGATAGAGCAAATCTGAGATCAGATTTGGAATCGGCACCCTGAAATTAGTCTAGAACAGCTGCAAAAGTCCAGGCCAGAAAAAACATTTTTTCTTGTTGACCGGTGTTATTAACGTCACGTTTTGTGTTTCCCAACTCTGCTAGTGGGAGAAGGGCGGAAGACAATAATCAACCTCTTGTAAGTAAACTCTTTCTAACCTCGCTCTCCTCTCCCACGACACTAATATCACTATTTTTTCCCACTGCAACGTCCAAGCCATGCCAGGGCCGTACTCTGCTGGCCCCGCATAGGTCATGCGGCACCTCTGCAGGAGCTGAAAGACGGTGGTTGGGCTCCACGGTGTGCGGGGATGTTAGTTCCCTCGCCTGGTATGCAGGAGGGTGTGGGTTCGATCCCTACCCTGATGCCTGCTGCTGTTTATTTGGAGTTTGAATGTCTCCCCGTGGTCGCGTGGATTTTTCTCCGGGTCCTCACATTTCTGAACGTGCCTTTAGGGTATTTGGCTGCTATGAATTTCCACGTGATAAGTCACTTTGGTGGAGCGATAATTTATAGTCCATTCGTTTATCAAAAAGAGCTACATAGCTCAGTGAGGCCTTAGCTGGTGAAACAAAAATAGAAAACTTTTCGGTAAATAAATTGTCTCAAGGGCACTGAGAACAAATCACAGTCACAAGATTACACTGGTCAAAAAAAAAAATTCTGGCCTGGACTTTTGCAGCTGTTTTAGACTAATTTCAGGGTGGTGATTCCAAATCTGATCTCAGATTTGCTCTATCACATCTCATTTTTATGCTATCGGCATACCCCATTTTCATTGATTTTACCCCAAATTAACTCTGTCACTTATGATTGCAAGTTGTTGCGAGTCAGTGACTGCTTTAGTGTTAAAATATGGTGCTGTATTTTTTGGATAGTGTGTTTATAATATCATTTTATGTAGATATCCACATTTATTTAATATTTTTCTTCTGCAGTTTTTATTGAAAATGCTAAATTTGATATCTCAAAAACCTGATGTGATAGACAAAAACTGATGCCAGATTTGGAATCAGCACCCCAAAATTACATTAAGACCGTTGGAATACCTTAGGCCAGAAAAAGTGTGTTGACCAGTGTTATCAATGCACGGGACGCCGCTTTATCGTGTGGAGTGAGACCACACGAGTGACGCTCTGGACTGCCACAGCGCACCTCGATGTACGAATATCATGTGGTGGCGCAGATAATAGCTGTGACGTTTGCTTTTGGAGGTGGCGCCCTCGCCACCCGTTTCAAAAGGCTCGTGCCTCTAACCCAGTAGCCGCGCCGATCAATACCGCGGGTGCATTGCAGTGGAAAAAAAATCTATACTGTGTGTCGTCTTGATGCTCCTGCTGTTGTGGAGTGACTCGTGCAGCCCAGCTATGGCTGCAGGGTTTTTGGTAGTACATGTTGTTTATGTTGTTTATTGTGAAAATTCCGTCACAGTTCCTATGATTACTGTTTAATTGCTTTCATGGCTTTATTTTGGTGATTTCGAAAAGTTTATTGGTTTAGCTATGTTTGTTTGTTGTAGTACGGAGTAAGACTGATGGCCTTAATCTAAGTTGTCTTGTGGTTGTTGTTGTTTGACTTGCATCCCACTGGGATTTTTACACACAGCGTTGGTGTACGGTGCTTTTTCTGCAATATTTTGCAGTCTTTTCTTGGATTTTCTGTTTGCACTTAGTCACATATTCACTTTAAGATGTTTTCTTGTTCATGTTTTTGTTTTTTGTTTGTTGCGGTTGCACCCGATTCAAGAGCCGAATGGCTCACAGGGCTATACCTAATACATGAGCTTGAACTTGTCTTGCTTCGGTTCACGGCGGACGTTAAAGATCCCGTGACGTCGTTCGCAAGAGGAGGAGGTTGAGGCCATTGCGTGGTGGTGGTGGTGGTGCAAATGTGCCGCGTTTGGTAAAATTTACCGTAAAATTTACCGTGAAATTGCGTAGCGATTGGACTTTACACGGCCATCGTCAACCCCACCACCAACCGTTACGAAAACCTGTCGGGATCCTCCTGAAAAAGATTTGTGAGACTCCGGCTTTTCTGAGTGACCAAGGAAATCTCAAATGTATGATGGAGTGTAACTCTGTGTTCCTCTTGTGTTTTATTTTTTCCCAGCGTGGCCACCAGACTGCATAAACCACCCCACTGAAACCTGGGTCGTTGCTGCTTTTGGCTGAATCTTCGTTTGTCGCAACCAGGCCATGGACAAACACGCATGTCGTGGTCTACGTGTGTGTATGTCTTGTTTCCAACAAACTGCCCTACCGGTAAACCTGTGAGCCTCCATGCCACTTGTGGTCTTTTAATACTTTACATTTTGCGAGACTGGGTTTCAGAATCAGTCTTGCTTCAGCCGCTCCGCCAAGAGACTCCCCCGAGGTCTCGAATCATAATTGTGATCGTGTCCAACGCTCAATCGGCTCTTATCATGAGAAAGCTAATTTATTTGTGTCATCTTTACATGTTATATACAGACAGTCCCCGGGTTATGGAAGGGGGGTTAGGCCTCCGAGAACGATTCGCAACACCAAGTTTTCTGCACTTCCGAAACTGAACAATTTTCCCCCCAAATCAAGATAAAATCAAGATAAAATCAAGATAAAATCAAGATAAAATCAAGATAAAATCAAGATAAAATCAAGATAAAATCAAGATAAAATCCCGTAGCCGGAAATAGTTGTGAATGACGAAGGACTTGCTTGCTAGATGAGGAAGAAGGAGAGATGGGAATTGCATCATCGGGGTCAACATCAGGTGGTCATAAGCTCTCAAGGCAGGGCTGCAGAGGGAGCCTCAGCCCTGCCTTTTTACGCCTCCTCTCTCCGCGGTATTCATCCGCAACCTCACCGCGCCGCACTACTTTCGCTTACGCAACTAACGCAAAACATTTCCGCATGTTGACATTTTTTTCACGTGTTTCATGGCGAGCTTTTAGGTAAGGTCGGATTTCCGTACGTCGGTTCTTCTGTAACCCGGGGACTGTGTTGTCATGAGGATACAAAATTGCCTTTCGCTTGTGATTAGAATATTCAAGTTGTTACTTCATACGTTTTGATTTAAAGCTTTCGTGACTGCAGGGATTCATATTCTTGGTTCTTTCGGTAAAGTCACGTAGAAGGGAAATAATGAAATAATATTGATATAAAACAATTAAAATTCACACGACGTTTCGACTGGAACACAAGCAATCATCATCAGGTGTGAAATCCACAGCAAGAAAATTTGAAGAAGAAAAAAACTCCACTTTTTTCAAATTTTCATACGTTCTTCGTTGATTACTTTACAATAGCCTTAAAAACGTAACGCGCTTTAACATATTTCATAGTTTTTTTGTTACTCTTGTGTCAAGGTTGCCCATCGAGCCATGTTGTGCCGCTACAGGGGATCCGTGTTCGTTCAAATCGGTGGGTGGTGTGTCTTTTTATTAAAGTCTCGGTCTCGGGTTGCAGATTCGATTCGATGATGATCATAATGCAGCCAGCTTCTTAGAACGCCTCCGCCGCAGTAAGTTGTGGTCACGTCGATTTTTCTCCGGGTCTTTCGGTGTTTCCCTAACATATTTAGAATCGGCATCGTGCATTTCGAAATCTTTTGGCTACTATGAATGTCCAAACTAAAAATGTGCGCAGACTGTGCTGTAGACCATTGCTAATGGCAACTGTGCAGGCAGGTGTGTCAATTCTAGATGTGAAACTTTCGTGGCTGCAAGGATTCATACTCTTAGGTTTTTTTGGTAAAGTCACGTAGGTAAAAAATAACATTAAAATTAATTAAAGTAATAGTAGAAATAAAATATCTTCTTGGTTCTTTCGGTAAAGTCACGTAGAAGGGAGATAATAAAATAATAAAAATAAAACATAAAATAATACAATTCTCACGACTTTTCGGAGGCAACACAAGTCTCCGTCATCAGGTGGGACTATCGCAGCTAGATTTACTGTATCACAGATTTACTGTCATTGATACATCATTGATACAGTAAATCTGTATCCTTGATACATCATTGATACAGTAAATCTAGCTGTGACGGTCCCACCTGATGACGGAGACTTGTGTTGCCTCCGAAACGTCGTGAGAATTGTATTATTTTATTTCTATTATTACTTTTATTAATTTTTACCTACATGACTTTACCGAGAAAACCTAAGAGGTAGGTGTGTCAACTCTAGAATATCTTTGTCTCGGTGAGTTCTCAACATTTCACACTTTCGTCCAGAGTGCCACAGTGTAAATTGCTATCTCAGACTCTGCAGTCGGTCAATCTCCGTCCAGCGCTGTGAAGAAGCGTCTTTGAAACGGGTAGCCTAATGTTATTATCTCTGCTGTTGGGCAGCCGTGTTAATGTATTTGCCGTTATTTTTTTTATATCTTATCTCGTTTGACGACAGCCTGTGGAATATTAGTCAAGTCGCTAAGCCTGTGGATTTTTGTAGTCGTTACATTAGTCGGCTAACGGAGCCTGGACAATTTTTTTTCAAGCGCTTGTATTCAAAATTGGCGTGAAGGGAGCCCTAAAATTCCCACTCACCACCTCCCCCCCCCCACAAATAAGGCGCTATTTAAGGCGCTATTATAAGGCAGAGGTTACGGGATGCGTTCAATGGGCAGTGTCCTCTGATGGCCTCACGTGGTTTATAAAGTATTTTGCCGCTAGAAATTTCCAACCGATGATGATGATGACCCCACTGAGTAAAATAATGCTGAGTCTATATATATGGTATCTGATTTCTCCGCAAGTTTGTCTGTCACCTGATGATGCTAGTTGTGTTACTGGTGAAACATCGTTACCCAGATTGTAAATGTTGTGACTTTGATCTCCAACACACAAGCGGTGTGCTGTACTAGCGACGAATTGGCAAGTTCTGTTTACATGACAAATCATACTAATTGGCTGTGTCGGGTGATGGTGGGTTTAACGACACTTTTATTTACGCGACCGAACCCATAAAACCTGTATCATGGATTATATTGGTCACGAAAGCTTCCGTGTTAAGCTGCTAAATATAGTTAAAACTCTGTGCAAATATGATCACGTGGTGACAACTTTAGGTCTTCCTCAGAGCACTGCAGTTTCTAATGCCGGCACTTGTAAGTATCTAAGTCTACGTCACATTTGATGGGGTGTTTTCCCCCATTCATTGTCATCGTTCACTCAACTAAAACAATCAATGGACCAATATTTCCCTCACCAACTTCACGAATGAAAATTGACACTGCCAAGGCGTTGCTGGCGGCCAATGCGAGTTTTTCTATCGGTGCTTGTGCGCTTGCGTCATGAGCCGGTTTCATCCTCGGGGCAAACGCAAAGCCTGCTTTGGGCCACGCATAGAATGACGGCGGCGTGGTGTTCGCATGTCGCTGGATCATTATTTAAATCGGCGTGCTCTATCGATGTGTCTTTGTTAGCGCGTGTGGTTCAGCATGTCGTTTAGACGTTTCTCTCCCCGTGCTGGCAGCTTCTATGGTTTGCGTCGGAGAGCTGTGTAGAACATAGTCGCGAAAGCTTACGTAGCAGCAGCAGCAGTTATCGTAAACTCCTGCACAGCATTGCTATTAGCGTCGCGTAACAATGTAAGATTTTAATGCAGTATAGCTACCGATAGTCTCCGCTTCTGCGTACGGTGCAGTAGAGCGTTTTATTCGATATGTACTCGTCAATTAGATAACGGAACTTTTAACACGATTAATTCAGGACAGAGAGCATCTGTCGGACACATTAGCTTAGTGCTAGTGGCTCTGGCACGTCGTGGGGTTGTAAGCCAGCACTGAAGGTGTGTGCGAGGGGTTGGTGATTCGCACGCACAAACGTTGTGAAACGCCCTTCCCGTGCGCGTCAATGTAAAGCCATAACTCTGCCTTCCCAGGGCCAGATGGTGCAGAAAACTGTGGGCTCTTATCATCTGACCAGAGGTCGCAAACGGGTTTTGATTCCTTACCCGTACCCGGCCGCACCAGGGTCGCAAATGGGTACCCGTACCCGGCCGGGTACAGGTACCCGTTCCCTACCCGTACCCTACCCGAAATGAGTGACAAACGGTGACTCACCAGTGACTCACGGGCCTACCCGTACCCGGCCGCACCAGGGTCGCAAACGGGTACCCGTACCTGGCCGGGTATGGGTAGCCGGGTATCGGGTACCCGGGTATCGGGTACCCGGGTATCGGGTAGGGTACGGGTATCGGGTACCCGGTTGCAACCTCTGCATCTGACCCTTCTGCGTGGGAAAGTGTCGCCTTCCTTGGCACGCGTTGAATTTTCTCCGGGCTCCCACGTATGAACACTCATCAATCGGCTGAAAATGCCTTAATATACAGAGGAACTGCAGAGCTTGGGATATCGTTCGTAGAAGCAGCTCAGCCGCCTGGCTGCTCCCTTCAGCTCTTCATCTCGTTCTTCGGCGATCGTTAGAGATGCTATATGTCAATATAAGCATAAATGCATAGTCCATTTGATGTCAGTCGCAATTAGTGATGCTGTGAAATCTCTGGATTCTGAATTTTTTTTGGGGGGTGGGAACCCTTCTGCCGTGTGAAATGGTTCTGGCATGCCTCAATATGATAATTGCAAATGCGTATGAAATGGATAATACTTTAAAATATATATATACTTTCAGGGATACTTTAAACTTCAAAAAATACATTTAATTACCGCTTACTAACAATTAATCAAGTATTCATAATTTAACATTTAACTTTTTCTTTCAATGGCTATACGATTCAATTTCAAATGACTGTGATTCATGTGGAACGCTGAAGAGTTGCTCAGATTTTCTTTGCCATGTGTAGTGACGCCAACAACACGTTCCTACTTGATAATTGTTTTTTTACCCTTTTATCTGGCAACAAAACTGACACCTTTTTACAAGGAGTCATGTTTGCATAGACCGCAATACCCGCAGCCATAATGCAAACAAAAAACATAACTCTGATAATATATGCACTGTCCTTGAAGTTGATTGGTCCACACCCGAGACAGCTTTCCTTAAGAGCCTAGTCTCACATGGGTTGGACCAGATGACGCCAATAGGCGCACAACTCAAAGACAACGCACCATCAGAGTATGAGAGCTCGGGGTAAGCATTTACACCATTGGAACCTCATTTGCCAGTAAAAAATATGATAATTGTTTTTTTACCCTTCTATCTGGCAATAGATAGAAGGGTAAAAAACCAATTAAAATATTTTTTACTGGCAAATGAGGTTCCAATGATGTAAACGTTCGCACTTGATTCGGACACGGTACTATCTCAAGGCTCTCGACTATATCCTCCGAAGCCCCCTTTCTGGAAGCTTCGCTCACCCCCCCCCACTCCCTTCGGCCAATCATCATCCTCCGACGATTGTCAACCCTCGCTTCCCATCTTTTACGTTGAAATCTCGCCTCTTGACCAAATCACCCTTTAGACTTTCCTGCGCCAATCGGAGGCCTTGGTTGACTTCCTGGCTGTCCGTTCGCATTGTATGCTTGTGTTTGGCAAGCAGTCTGTGGCCTTGGTCATTACACATGTTAAAAAAAATACAATGACATCCTGTGTAGTCCAAATGAAAGGGTTCGCTTTTTATTTGATAAGTCGCTTGAGAATGTGTCGGTGCACACAATCTCTTTTGTGGTTTTGATTTAAAATAAAATAAAAAAATCCCCCCCCCCCACTCCCGATTGCATTTTGGCTTTTATACCCCATATTCATGCCTTCCCAAGACTGTTTTCGTGAGGCTTTACTCTGGTGATCGCAGAGAGACGGTCAATTGGAGCTGATATATGTTAGGCTTACGAAAATCCCCAAAAAAAGATTGGCACGGCCGTCTTGCGATGAACATTTCACGCGGTCGATTGAGCGAGACGATGCCGTCCGCTACTGTGTGGCGTGGACCGGTGCGTCGCCTGAAGGAGGGAAGGGGAACCTCTAGAGAGTAGCTCTGTAATATCCGCTTCAGCAGGTCGTTCTTCAAACGCGAATGGGTCGTACCGCTTGGTGAGAGCTTTCGAGAGCGAGAGAAAAAAAAATTTCCGTCTCGTGACGTAACCGCTGATGGATAAAATTAGGTGGGGGGAGGGGGGTACTTACGAAAATATGAACCAAAAGTTTTAGAAGTTGAAGAGTTGCGTATTAAGGATGGAATTGATGGATCACTCGGTCAGGTTGCAGGCCACGCTTAAGAAAATGGATACACCAGTAGTGAATCGGTGTGTTGTGTGCATGTTTTCTGAATGCACACGTGTGACAAGTTGCAAACAAACATTTTCCAAGCACTCAAACTTTCATCGTGTATTGCTAGTAAATGGTTTTAAACATCGAAAAAGTCGGATTGTCTTTTTTTTGAGAGTGCACGATATTTAAATATGTGCCGTTCACAGAGCCTCATGCCTGATGAGCCTGTTCAGCGTGCTTTTGTGTGCTTTTAGGGAATAACACTTCACAATTGTGGGGTGATTTTATTCTAACGATGTGGATTTAAACGTTTCACCAAGGCGAAGGAGAAACGTTTGACAACGCGACAATGAAACGAAATGGCGACACAAACGGCTGTTTACGCCACCACAATCCCCCTTGACCATTTTTCCTGCCACGCATATACAAACGCCCCCATTACTTGGCTGAAAACATCTTAATGAATAGAGGACCGCAGAGCGTGGGCAATTGGTGCAGGCTCGCCCGCCGCCTGGCTAGTTATTTCCAGGTCGTCTGGTTCCTCCGCTCTCTCTTGAAGCGTGGGAGAATATCGTGGCGTGTTACAAGTTGCAATGGTTTTATTGTTTTGCTTGACAACAGACCGAAAGCAGAATGTGTCGTTGATATTTGCTTTGTTGAGATTGGCATTTACGTTGTAATTACTGGCGAAACTTTGTACCCGGATTGTAAATGTCGTGGGTTTACTCTCCAACACACCGGGTGGTGCTGTACTAGTAACGAATTGGCACGTTCCGTTTACGCGACGAAATCGAACTCAAAACAACCTCGTGGATTTATTGACGAATTGGAGCTATCAAACTGATTTTTTTTTGCACAAATAACCACACCAACATTTTAATGGCAGATAACGTTTTACAGCAAAAAAGTAAGCAGGGCTTCGGCAGGACGTGTCGTGGTTAGAACGACGCGTTAAACAGATTGAACTGCACTCATAGCGATCGATGCATCAGAGTGAATCACTTTCACAAGGAACGACGCGTTACAGAGTGAATCACTTTCACAAGGAACGACGCGTTAGAGATTGAACTGCACTCATAGCGATCGATGCATCAGAGTGAACCACGTTCACAAGGAACGGCGCGTTGCAGAGTGAACGCCGGCCACGCGTGAAGCGGGGACTTGCCTCACTCCATTTCGGGGAGTACACGAAGGAAAACGACAAAGCGAAGGAGAAAAGAAAGCGAGGGAATGACCCAAAAAACGGAGGCCTGGTTGGGGAAACGTCAAACGGCGGACCGGAGCAGCTGCCACTCGGAATCTTCGTCCTGGACGAATCCGATGCGCTACGAAGCTTCTTTTCGCCAACGTCTCCACAGGAGGATGACTCCGCAGGTGCCAAGGACGTGAGCTCATGCCGGAGGATACTGACCCGCCGAGTCGAGGGACAGACATCGAATCGAATCACGGGGCAAATCTCCTCTCCCGGAGTTGCTTGGACAAACGCGTGCGAATTGAACTTGGGGGGTTTGCAACCTCCGACATGGCCACTGTGAACCTCCGGACAGAGAGAGAGAGAGACGCACCCAGTACCGGAACTTGAAACCCAGGCAATTAATTAGCTCTAAACCAGACATTATGAACCTCCCGAGAGAGAGGGGGGGGGGGCGGGCGGTGGGCCCCCACGCCAGAGGTCGCAACCGGGTACCCGATACCCGTACCCTACCCGATACGGGTACCCGTACCCAGTCGGGTACGGGTACCCGTTTGCGACCCTGGTGCGGCCGGGTACGGGTACGGGTAGGTCGTGAGTCACTGGTGAGTAACCGTTTGTCACTCATTTCGAGTAGGGTACGGGTAGGGAACGGGTGGGTACCCGTACCCGGCCGGGTACGGGTACCCATTTGCGACCCTGGTGCGGCCGGGTACGGGTAAGGAATCAAAACCCGTTTGCGACCTCTGCCCCACGCCCAGGATTCAAACCCGGCGTCTGGGCAGTGCTCGACACGGCCATTATGAACCCACTGAGAATCAAACAGGCAGCCAGCCTCAGGGGTCTCGAAGCCAGGAGCTCATCGGTGCTGGCTGTGTCTCCGACACGGCCTCTGGACGGGGGGACCCCTTCTAGAAAGCCGATCGCTCAATCGCAACCTGTTCAAACCCAGCCATTATGGACCACCTGAGACAGAGAAACACAGGCACACAGATACCCAGGGCTCAAACCGAGGTCTCGGGCCGGTGCCGATTCAACTCAACTCAGTCCCACTCGACGAGACAAAAACAAAACCCCACACCCGGGTCTCGAACCTAGGCGACACGGGGCCATCGTGAAACTTCCGCCGGTCCTTCAAACGGCGAGGTCATCCAAGCGGCTCCTGCCGTTGCTGCTGCCACCGCCGCCGCTGCTGCGGCTGTGGGGGGGCTCCTGAATGTGCATGTGCAGGGGGAAGGGGGGCAGGGGCAGGGGCATCGTGGGGGGCAAGGGCAGCCGGGGGAAGCCGGGCGCCGTGGCTGGGGGCAGCTGCCCGGCGGGGGAGCTCCTCGTCGCTTGCTGCGTCATCCCCGTGGAAGCGGAGGGCTCGTCCCACAGGGTGTCGAACGTGGAGCGGCCAGTGTCTGTTGGGAGGGGGTCAGGGGTCGGCAGGTCATCAGTAGGAGCTACACTGAACCAAGCTAATTGAGTTTACCAGGTATGAGACCAACACCCCCCCCCCCCCCCCCCCCCCCCCCCCAAGGAGCTGTGGATATGGCTCATCATCAAAAGCGACCTGGGCTATATCGCAAATGATAGTTCGACGAAAAGCGGCTTATCGTGATGTGGACATTTGTAGCAGCAGCAGCAGCCACATTATCTAAACGTGGTGACGATTGTAAATGTGCAGGGAAACCCCCCGGAGGACCCGGAGAAAAATCCACGTGACCACGGCGAGAGAGAGAGAGACACACAAACTCCAAATACACAGCAGCAGGCGTCGGGGTCGGGATCGAACCCACGACCTCCTGTAGACCAGGCGAGGTAGTTAACATCCCATAGCCACCATGATTATGATGAGAGAGAGACACGCAAACTCCAAATATACAGCAGCAGGCGTCGGGGTTGGGATCGAACTCACGACCTCCTGTGGACCAGGCGAGGTAGTGAACTTCTCGCCACCGTGGCGCCCTGGGATGATCAATCGCTTACATAAAAGTGCAACCCTGCAATTATCGCGCAGAGACCCACAGACTCACACAGACCCACAGACCAGTGCAGAGACCCACAGACCCACAGACTCGCACAGACACACACAGACCCACGCAGAGTCCCACACAGACCTACGCAGAGACCCACAGACGCACACAGACCCATAAACACACAAAGACCCACAGACGCACAGAGACCCACAGACCCACGCAGAGACCCACGCAGAGACCCACAGACACACAAAGACCCGCAGACCCACGCAGAGACCCACAGACGCACACAGACCCATAAACACACAAAGACCCACAGACGCACAGAGACCCACGCAGAGACCCACAGGCACACAAAGACCCACAGACGCGCAGAGACCCACAGACCCACGCAGAGACCCACAGAAGACGCACACAGACCCACAGACACATAGACCCACGCAGAGACCCACAGACACAAAGACCCACAGACGCACAAAGACCTACAAACACACAGACACCCACAGACCCGCGCAGCGCCCCACAGAACGCACATAGCCCACAGACTCGCGAACGGACTCAGAATGGAGATGCTAAGAGACAAAAACGAGGCGGTTCTAAACAGTTTGGGCAGGCTCCCCTAAATGCTTTTCCCTGCGAATTGTGTCCGCCCACGCCGCTGCCGGCAGAATGGGCTCCACTCGAGTCACCGCTAGAGGGCGCGCTGGCCTACCCAGCGCCCCGTGGGTGGTGCGTGGGTGGTAAAGGGGTGGTGCGTGGGTGGGTGGTGAAGGGGTGGTGCGTGGGTGGTGCGTGAGTGGTGCGTGGGTGGTGCGTGGGTGGGTGGTGAAGGGGTGGTGCGTGGGTGGTGCATGGTGCGTGGGTGGTGCGTGGGTGGTCCATGAGTGGTGAAGGGGTGGTGCGTGGGTGGGTGGTGCGTGGGTGGTGCATGGCGCGTGGGTGGTGCGTGGGTGGGTGGTGAAGGGGTGGTGCGTGGGTGGTGCGCTAGAGGGCGCGTTGGCCTACTCATCCACACCGGGCCACACGTCTTGGATGAGGTGTCAGGACCCGCACTTTACCCCGCCGCACGCGGACCTGCCGATCGAGTGACCGAGGTGGGCCCATCGATGCTGCTCGACGGACGGAGGCGCCCAGGAGAGATGGAATCGGAGTGGCTCCCTCTGGCTTCCCAGTTCAGCGTGCCGATGGTTCCACCGCTGATCCGATCGAAATCTCTAATTTTCAATCGGATCATTGGGGTTTATTAGTAATAAATGGGAATTTTGCGACCCCCACTGCCACTGTGTAGCATGTTATTACCTGCCAGGGACTCTATGAGATGATAGGACAATAGTCTGAGTCCATAATTGGCAATAAGTAGCGGCAAAGCGGTTATAGGTGACTCAAAATTGTGCGCAGTTGCGTCTACAGCACACGACTTCCCTGAAGGCATCAGCACCTCCAGCGAGCGCGATGCCGATCAACCGACGCGAGTCGAATTCGACCCTCGATCGGTGGCTGCGCCATCGCCGCACACACGTCGAATAAAAAGCAAGGGACAACTCCTTACTAACAACTCCTTACTAACAACTCCTTACTCACTAACAACTCCTCTATCATTTTTCATTGCTGGAGGGGTTGCCCCCCACTACCGAGAAAATCCTGGCTCCGCTATTGGGTGTACACGCATCGCGTGAAACGTCGGGCACTCGCAAGTAACGCGACGAGCTGTGAACGAAATTTCGATTTAAAGCTTTCGTGACTGCAGGGATTCATCTTCTTGGTTCTTTCGGTAAAGTCACGTAGAAGGGAAATAATAAAAATAAAACATAATAAAATACAATTCTCACGACGTTTCGGCCACAACGCAAGCAGCCGTCGTGAGAATTTTTTTATTTTTATTTTTTTATTATTTCCCTTCTACGTGACTTTACCGAAAGAACCAAGAAGAGCTGTGAACGAGCAACAGCAGCAGCAGCAGCTCATCATGTGACAGCCAAACCTCCTATACCACAGCTCCGGATGCATTCTGGGTAATAAAGGGAGCGCTGTACGTGAACAATGTCCACAGGAGACCATTGTGACGTGGCCAAAGACGCGACTCTACGGGCAACGCCACGCCTACCTCCCCGCCACCTCCGGGCTGACTGTTACCAATGATCTCTCCCGAGGACGAAGAGCGTTATAACGAGTCAACGGCGCTATAGGAGGCGTCGACTCCGCGTGGGTAACGCCTGTGACGCGTGCGAGCCGTCGTTCGTCTCACCGAATTCGGACGCAAACATTGTTGGCCAGTCCTGCCGGCGGTACGGTGGAGCCGCAGCGGTTAGGTAGGCCTCATCTTGTCCACCTCCTCCTCCTCCTCCCGTCTCGTCTCCTTCGCGAGAGCTCGCCCACGGAAGGCCCGGAGCCTGCGGGGGCCTGGGTTCGACTCCCGGTTGCTGGGAGCGGTGGTTCTTTGCGGGCGGAGGTGGCGGAGGAGTCTTGTGCTGCTCGGAATAATCGGGGACCTCGTAGGTGGGTTCTCGGTAGTTGATGCTGCGCGTGAACGCTTTCCAGCCGAGGTGGTACACCTGTGCAAGTCGACACACAAAACAAAAGGTGTCCCCACCCACCACCACTATCCGTGTGTAGCCTTCAACAGACTGCTGGGGCAAGATGCTGTCTCCGTCATGTCAACACGTGAAGGCGAGTGGCCAGTGCCACGCTCAGTCACCTTGATAACAAGACGCTGAAGTTTAGTAGCGATTCGAGATTTGAAGTTTTCGTGACTGCAAGGATCCATAATTTTTGAGGTTTTTCGGTAAAGTCACGTGGGTGAAAATAAAACTAATAGAAATAATAATAGAAATAAAATAATAAATCACGACGTTTCGGAGGCAACACAAGTCTCCCTTATTAATTCTAGATTTGAAGCTTTCGTGACTGCAAGGATTCATACTTTTTGGGTTTTTTCGGTAAAGTCACGTAGGTGAAAACAATAAAATAAAATAAATGAAAACAACTAAATTTAATCACGACGTTTCGGAGGCAACACAAGCCTCCCTCATCAGGTGTAAAAAGTTATTTCTAAATCGCGTCATTTATTCACTACAGCAACTTTGCTGTGGCGGTTCCACCTGAAAACGGAGGCTTGTGTTGCTTCCGAAACGTCGTGATTTTATTTAGTTGTTTTCATTTGTTTTCCCTACGTGACTTTAGCAGCGAATTTTTATTTTATTAAACTCTTTTTCGGTAAAGTCACGTAGGTAAAAAATAAAATAAAATTAACAAAAGTAAAATTAAAATCACGACGTTTCGGAGGCAACACAGCAGCAGGCATCAGGGTCGGGATCGAACCCACAACCTCCTGCACACCAGGCGAGGTAGTTAACATCTCTTAGCCACCGTGATGATGATGAGAGAGAGAGAGACACGCAAACTCCAAATACACAGCAGTAGGCGTCAGGGTCGGGATCGAACCCACGACCTCCTGCAGACCAGGCGAGGTAGTTAACATCTCCTAGCCACCGTGATGACGATGAGAGACACGCAAACTCAAAATACACAGCAGCAGGCATCGTCAGGGTCGGGATCGAACCCACGACCTCTTGCACACCAGACGAGGTAGTTAACATCTCCTAGCCACCGTGATGAATATGAGAGAGAGAGACACGCAAACTCAAAATACACAGCAGCAGGCGTCAGGGTCGGGATCGAACCCACGACCTCCTGCAGACCAGGCGAGGTAGTTAACATCTCATAGCCACCACCGCCACCACCGCCGCCACCACCACCGCCACCACCCCCGCCGCCCCCACCCCCACCACCCATCACCGCTCCTCGCCTCGGCCAAGTTGAGCGCCAGCGAGATCGCCGACACGGCCATCATGAAGACGATGAAGATGTTCTTCTCGGTGGGCCGCGACAGGAAGCAGTCGACGGCGTTGGGGCAGGGCCAGCGCTCGCAGCGGTAGAGGGGCCGCAGCAGGAGGCCGTAGAGGCCGTACTGGCCCAGCGAGAAGCACAGCTCCAAGGCGCAGCGCAGAGACACGCACAGCACGTAGGTCCTGAGCAGCGCTCCGCGGAGACGCACGGGAGGAGCGTCCTGCGTGCGAGGGGGGACGGCGGGGGCAGAGTGGGGGAGAGGGGGAGATGGGTGGGTGGTGCGTGGGTGGTGAAGAGGGGTGCGTGGGTGGTGAAGGGTGGTGAAGGGGTGGTGCGTGGGTGGTTTGTGGGTGGTGCGTGGGTGGATGGTGAAGGGGTGGTAAGTGGTGCATGGGTGGTGCGTGGGTGGGTGGTGAAGGGGTGGTAGGTGGTGCGTGGGTGGTGAAGAGGTGGTGCGTGGGTGGTGCGTGGGTGGTGCGTGGGTGGTGAAGGGGTGGTGCGTGGGTGGTGCGTGGGTGGTGAAGGGGTGGTGCGTGGGTGGTGAAGGGGTGGTGGGTGGTGCGTGGGTGGGTGGTGGGTGGTGCGTGGGTGGGTGGTGCGTGGGTGGGTGGTGCGTGGGTGGGTGGTGAAGGGGTGGTGGGTGGTGCGTGGGTGGGTGGGTGGTGAAGGGATGGTGGGTGGTGCGTGGGTGGTGAAGGGGCGGTTAAGGGGTGGTGCGTGGGTGGTGCATGGGTGGTGCATGGGTGGTGCATGGGTGGTGCATGGGTGGTGCGTGGGTGGTGCGTGGGTGGTGAAGGGGGGTGCGTGGGTAGTGCGTGGGTGGTGCGTGGGGGTGCGTGGGTGGTGCGTGGGTGGTGAAGTGGTGGTGCGTGGGTGGTGAGTGGGTGGTGCGTGGGTGGTGAAGGGGTGGTGCGTGGGTGGTGCGTGGGTGGGCTTCCTCCTCTCGTCCTGTGCGCTCTCACAGTGCATCACTCATGGAGGGGGGGGGGGGCAGAGATTCTACTGTTGTTGTTGTTGTTGGTTGTTGTTGTTGGTTGTTGTTGTTGTTGTTGTTGGTTGTTGTTGTTGGTTGTTGTTAAGGCAAATAGAGAGTGACGGACATAGTCTACAGACCGGTCAGCCGACTGAAAACGAATGTCATTAGAACTGCTACTTGTGCCTATCCATAACAGGGTTTTTTTAATAGGTTAGATCGCATAAATATATAAATGTGTCGTTAAACCCGCCACCACCCGACACAGCCAATTAGTGAGATGTGTTACGGAAACAGAATAGCACTAATTCGCTAATGCAGCACACCGATGTGTCGGAGAATCAAACCCACTACAACATTTACAATCCCATAACAATTGTAAATGTTGATAATTGTTTTTTTACCCTTTTATCTGGCAACAAAACTGACACCTTTTTTTTACGAGGAGTCATGTTTGCATAGACCACAATACCTGCAGTCATAATGCAAACAAAAAACATAACTCAAGGACAGTGCATACATTATCAGAGTTATGTTTTTTTGTTTGCATTATGACTGCAGGTATTGTGGTCTATGCAAACATGACTCCTCGTAAAAAAAGGTGTCAGTTTTGTTGCCAGAAAAAAGGGTAAAAAACCAATTATCATATTTTTCTACTGGCAAATGAGGTTCCATGATGTGAATTGTAAATGTTATAGTGGGTTTACCCTCCAACACACCACCGGTTAGTGCTGTACTCGTAGCGAATTGTCACGTTTTCTTGACATGACAACCTTTCACTATCGATTTAAAGCTTTCGTGACTGCAGGGATTCATTTTCTTGGTTTTTTCGGTAAAGTCACGTAGAAGGGAAATAATAAAATAATGAAAATAAAACATAATAAAATAATTCTCACGACGTTTCGGCCACAACGCATGCTAACCCTACTCCCTCCCTTTGATGCTGCTAATCCCGCATAATGCACGGGCATAATATGACTTTGAAACCCCCCGCCCACCTCCTACGCATTCCACAAGTAGTGACTAAACCCATATATGCATTTCCCATAAATATGCTAAATTCCTCTTGATATGCAAATTATTTTGTCAAGGCGCTCTTCTCCCTCCAACCCAGCTTAAATATACGCTGCCAAGCCTGGTGGTGTTTCATTCAGACGCTGCCTTTCCAACAGACCTGTTCTTCACCTGAGGACGGCTGCTAGCGTTGTGGCCGAAACGTCGTGAGAATTATTTTATTAAGTTTTATTTTTATTATATTATTATTTCCCTTCTACGTGACTTTACTGAAAGAACCAAGAAGATGAATCCCTGCAGTCACGAAAGCTTTAAATCGATAGTGAAAGGTTGTCACGTCAAGAAAACGTGGCAATTCGTTACGAGTACAGCACTAACCGGTGGTGTGTTGGAGGGTAAACCCACTACAACATTTACAATTCACATCATTGGAACCTCATTTGCCAGTTGAAACATATGATAATTGGTTTTTTATCCTTTTATCCTTTTATTTTTTATTTCCCTTCTACGTGACTTTACCGAAAGAACCAAGAAGATTAACCTTTCACTAATGGTCTGTGCCCGGTGGTGGCGGGTTCACCGACACATTTATACATTTTACGCGATCTAACCCAAAGAACCTCTACTGTGGATCAGATTGGTGGCGACATTCCTGCTGCTGCTACGTGTCCCACCGCATCTCCGATTAGCACGGTTACGCTACGCGAGGTGTCAAAGAAGTTCAGCGTACAACAGCACAAATTAGCGTCGTGTATTTTTAAACGACGCGAGTGTGGCGGTAATGAAGATGACGATAGCGGAGGGCCATCTGGTCTGGGGAGCGGTGGCGCAGCGGTTAGCGCTACGCCGCGCTACGAACCCGGGTTCAATTCCCGCTCACGGCCATAAACGCCGGTGATGATTATCTGAACCGGTCCTGGGCCTCCCCCCTAGGTCGACTCAGCCTCAAATGAGTACCTGATGCGGTGTGTAAAACATCGTCACATGCCCCAGCAGTCTGCTGATGCTAAACGGGGCAATCTTTGTCTTCGCCAGGAGAGAGAGAGACACGCAGATGGATCAGCTACGCCAACATCAGTGACCTCTGAATTATCGATTTGCACCGCGGGTTACCACTTATCGTGGTCTTCCCTCTATCACGAGGCATCCGTTGTCCTGGTAAATCTGTGAATCATCTTTCCAGGAACTTTATGAGCTCTGGTTATTGTCCGCTGCGTAACGATCTCAATAATCGCAACAGCACACCGCGCAAGTCAATGGATGTTGCACATAATCTAATCTAATTGTATATTTATAGAGATCGCCTTCGCGCGAGGCGCTTGACATTGCCGACTCAATGATGACAGAATGGAACGATGCAGTCGACAGGGGCGGTATTGAGGAATGAGTCGCCGCAGCCACCCAGAAGATGCTCTAGGGGAGGGACGGGAAGAATTGGAGGGGCGAGGGGAGGAAAGAGAATTGACGAGAGGTGTCCTCCCCACGCTACCACGGCAAGTGTTTTTGGCCGCCACTGTGGCTAGGAGATGTTAACTACCTCGCCTGGTATACAGGAGGTCGTGGGTTCGATCCCGACCCTGACACCTGTTTATATTTGGAGTTTGCATGTCTCTCTCTCTCCCATCATATCACGGTGGCTATGAAATGTTAACTACCTCGCCTGGTATACAGGAGATCGTGGATTAGATCCCGACCCTGACACCTGTTTATATTTGGAGTTTGCGGTGTCTCTCTCTCTCCCATCATCATCACGGTGGCTAGGAAATGTTAACTACCTCGCCTGGTATACAGGAGGTCGTGGATTAGATCCCGACCCTGACGCCTGCTGCTGCATATTTGGAGTTTGCGTGTCTCTCTCTCTCCCATCATCACAGTGACTTGGAGATGTTAACTACCTCGCCTGGTATACAGGAGGTCGTGGATTAGATCCCGACCCTGACTCCTGCTGCTATATGAAGTGGTGAGTCTATGGTGCAGTGTTGAGTCTATTATGCAGTGATGAGTCTATGGTGCAGTGCTGAGTCTATGGTGCAGTGTTGAGTCTATGGTGCAGTGATGAATCTATGGTGCAGTGATGAGTCTATGGGCAGTGATGAGTCTATGGTGCAATGATGAGTCTATGGTGTAGTGATGAGTCTATGGTGCAGTGATGAGTCTATGGTGCAGTGTTGAGTCTATGGTGCAGTGATGAGTCTATGGTGCAGTGTTGAGTCTATGGTGCAGTGATGAATCTATGGTGCAGTGATGAGTCTATGGTGCAGTGATGAGTCTATGGTGCAGTGATGAGTCTATGGTGCAGTGATGAGTCTATGGTGCAGTGTTGAGTCTATGGTGCAGTGATGAATCTATGGTGCAGTGATGAGTCTATGGTGTAGTGATGAGTCTATGGTGCAGTGATGAGTCTATGGTGCAGTGTTGAGTCTATGGGCAGTGATGAGTCTATGGTGCAGTGTTGATTCTATGGTGCAGTGTTGAGTCTATGGTGCAGTGTTGAGTCTATGGTGCAGTGTTGAGTCTATGGTGCAGTGATGAGTCTATGGTGCAGTGTTGATTCTATGGTGCAGTGTTGAGTCTATGGTGCAGTGTTGAGTCTATGGTGCAGTGTTGAGTCTATGGTGCAGTGATGAGTCTATGGTGCAGTGTTGAGTCTATGGTGTTGAGTCTATGGAAGGCGGCGTCGTAGCAGTGATGAGTCTGCAGTGATGAGTCTATGGTGCAGTGTTGAGTCTATGGGCAGTGTTGAGTCTATGGTGCAGTGATGAGTCTATGGGCAGTGTTGAGTCTATGGGCAGTGTTGAGTCTATGGTGCAGTGATGAGTCTATGGTGCAGTGATTAGTCTATGGTGCAGTAATGAGTCTATGGTGCAGTGTTGAGTCTATGGGCAGTGTTGAGTCTATGGTGCAGTGATGAGTCTATGGTGCAGTGATGAGTCTTTTGTGCAGTGTTGAGTCTATGGTGCAGTGTTGAGTCTATGGTGCAGTGTTGAGTCTATGGTGCAGTGATGAGTCTATGGTGCAGTGATGAGTCTATGGGGCAGTGCTGAGTCTATAGTGCAGTGTTGATTCTATGGTGCAGTGTTGAGTCTATGGTGCAGTGTTGAGTCTATGGTGCAGTGTTGAGCCTATGGTGCAGTGTTGAGTCTATGGTGCAGTGATGAGTCTATGGTGAAGACTCAACACTGCCCCATAGACTCATCACTGCACCATAGAATGTGTGTTGTTGTCGGTTGGCTACGTACGATGGTGCCATCGAAGTTCAACACACGCAACCTAATAACATCATCACCACCACCACCACCACCCCCACCTCCTCTCCCCTCCCCTCGTCCTTGCCGTCCTCTCCGCCCTCGACCGCCGCTCCTGCCGAGTCCGCGGCCCTCCCCTCGGCCGCCCCCCTCGTCCTCCCCTCGGCGGCGGCGGCGGCGGCTGCTGCCCTCGCTCGCCGCTCCCTCCTGCGCGCGACCGCCCGGGCTCCGTGCAGCACGTGGCCGAGGTATGCGAGCGACGGCGTCGACACGAAGACGATCTGGAGCACCCAGAGGCGCACGTGGGACACGGGGAAGGCGGCGTCGTAGCAGACGTTCTCGCAGCCCGGCTGCAGCGTGTTGCAGTGGAAGTCGGACTGCTCGTCGCCCCACACGCTCTCGGCGGCCGTGCCCAGCACGAGCATGCGGAAGACGAACAGGACTGTGAGCCACACCTTGCCCAGCGCCGTCGAGTGCTCGTGGGCCTGCTCCAGCACGCCTCCCAGCATGCTCCAGTCGCCCATTGTGACGTCAGCGGCGGCAGGGGCGGGCTAAAGGGGACTGGGGTAGACGGATTGGGAGGTAACGGGTGGGAGATGGGCGTGGAGAGATGGGGAGATGTTCGTGGGGGAGATGGTAATGGGGAGATGGTAATGGGGAAATTGTAAACAAAGAGATGATCTTCTTGGTTTTTTCGGTAAAATCACGTAGAAGGGAAATAATAAAATAATAAAAATAAAATAATAAAATACAATTCTCACGATGTTTCGGCCACAACGCCAGCAGCCATCCTCAGGTGAAGAACAGGTCTGTCGGAAAGACAGCGTCTGAATGAGCTCCACAGAGATGATAATGGGAAGATTGAATAGATGATAATGGGAAGGATGATAATGGGAAGATTGAATAGATGATAATGGGAAGATGAAATAGATGATAATGGGAAGGGTGATAATGGGAAGATTGAATAGATGATAATGGGAAGATCGAATAGATGATAATGGGAGAGATGGTTATGGGAGAGATGATAATGGGAGGTGGTGAGGATGCGATGGGGAGTTTGAAGGGGAAGGGCAGTAGTAGTGGTAGCAGCAGCAGGAGGAGGAGAGACACCGGAGAGGGAGGAGAGGGCGTGGAGACCACGGGAGGGAGAGAGGAGAGAGAGTTCAGATGAAGCGGATGGGTCGGTGGATGATTGGGTGAGTGGATGAGTGGGTGGGTGAGTGGACGATTGGGTGGGTGGTTAGATAGGTGGACGATGGGGTGGGTGGATGATTGGGTGGGTCGGTGGGTGGTTGGGTGGATGGATGAGTAGGTGGGTGGATGAGTAGGTGGGTGAGTGGATGATTGGGTGGGTGGTTAGATGGGTGGACGATGGGGTGGGTGGATGATTGGGTGGGTCGGTGGGTGGTTGGGTGGGTCGGTGGGTGGTTGGGTGAGTGGATGAGTGGGTGGGTGAGTGGACGATTGGGTGGGTGGTTAGATGGGTGGACGATGGGGTGGGTGGATGATTGGGTGGGTCGGTGGGTGGTTGGGTGGGTGGATGAGTGGCTGGGTGAGTGGACGATTGGGTGGGTGGCTAGATGGGTGGACGTTTGGGTGGAGGGATGATTGGGTGGGTCGGTGGGTGGTTGAGTGAGTGGATGGATGTAAGATTGCGTGTGTGGATGTTTGGGGAGTGGTGGTGCAACAGTTAGCGCTACGCTGCGTTACGAACCCAGTGGCGCGGGTTCGATTCCCACTTACGGCCAACACCAATGACGATTATCTGAACCGGTCCTGGTCCTCCTCTAGGTCGACTGAGCCTGAAATGAGTACTTGCTGCGGTGCCAAAGGCGGTCGGGCGTGTTGCTAGCCACCCACCCCCTCATGTGCCGTGCCGGCATTCATAGGTGCTCCTACGTTTCCCTAACAGCACTTGCCCCAGCAATCTGTGAAGGCTACACGTCGAGATCGAGTGTGTGGGCGAGTGTATGTGTGAGTACGCGAGCCAGTGAGTATGTGAGTTCCATAGTAATTACAGAGTGAATTGGTAAGCAAGTGGTGGGGTGAGTGGGTGGGTGGGTAGGTGTGTGGGTGGGTGTATGAGTGTGTGGGTGGGTAGGTGAGTGTGTGGGTGGGTGAGTGAGTGGGTGAGTGGGTGAGTGAGTGGGCACGTGATTCGGTGGGTGAGTAGATGAGTGGATGAGTGAGTGGGTGAGTGGATGAGTGGGTGAGTGAGTGGGTGAGTGGATGAGTGGGTGAGTGAGTGGGTGAATGAGTGGATGAGTGAGTGGATGAGTGGATGAGTGGATGAGTGAGTGGATGAGTGGGTGAGTGAGTGGATGAGTGGGTGAGTGGATGAGTGAGTGGGTGAGTGGATGAGTGAGTGGATGAGTGAGTGGGTGAGTGGGTGGGTGAGTGGATGAGTGAGTGGATGAGTGGGTGAGTGAGTGTGTGAGCGATTGTATAGGGTAAGTGCGAGGCTATCCACGAGTTGAGTGAGTAACATGAATTTGATTACTGCCCTTCTCAGAATGAGTGGCTGAGAATGTGAATGATTAAGTGCGCTCCTGTACACGAGAATGAATGAGTGGACGGGTGAATGAGCGGGATTCTTGAATGACTTGCAATCAGCGTGTGAGCTCCGGAGTAAAACAACAACTTTGAATGCTGCATTGTAGACACCGCTCACGATTATCTACTTGTATCATGCATTGGACTATTGCCCGAAACGTCGCTTTTTATGTTAAGGCTATACACACAGCGTTGTTGTTGTTACAGGGACTCTTCTACTTAAGAACATTCGACTTACGAACTTACAGAGATTCGAACAAACCTGTCCTCGTATGTCCAGTTGTCTGCTCGGAACAAGAGTCGTAAGTTCAACCGCCGCGCAATAGATGGCGGAGGTGACATCTACATCTGCCGAACGTGACGAGCCAGTGGCATCTACATCTGCCGAACGTGACGAGCCAGTGGCATCTACATCTACAGAACGTGAAGAACCAGTGACATCTACAGAAGGTGAAGAACCAGTGGCATCTACATCTGTAGAACGTGAAGAACCAGTGGCATCTACAGAACATGAAGAACCAGTGGCATCTACATCTACAGAACATGAAGAACCAGTGACATCTACAGAACGTGAAGAACCAGTGGCATCTACATCTGCCGAACGTGACGAGCCAGTGGCATCTACATCTACAGAACGTGAAGAACCAGTGACATCTACAGAAGGTGAAGAACCAGTGGCATCTACATCTGTAGAACGTGAAGAACCAGTGGCATCTACAGAACATGAAGAACCAGTGGCATCTACATCTACAGAACATGAAGAACCAGTGACATCTACAGAACGTGAAGAACCAGTGGCATCTACATCTGCAGAACGTGAAGAACCAGTGGCATCTACATCTGCAGAACATGAAGAACTAGTGGTATCTACATCTGCAGAACGTGAAGAACCAGTGGCATCTACATCTGCAGAACGTGAAGAACCAGTGGCATCTACATCTATAGAACGTGAAGAACCACTGGCATCTACATCTATAGAACATGAAGAACTAGTGGCATCCACATCTGCAGAACATCAAGAACCAGTGGCATCTACGTCTGCAGAACATGAAGAACCAGTGGCATCTACATCTGTAGAACGTGAAAAACCAGTGGCATCTACATCTACAGAACATGAAGAACCAGTAGCATCTACATCTGCAGAACGTGAAGAACCAGTGGCATCTACATCTAAAAAACGTGAAGAACCAGTGACATCTACATCTACAGAACGTGAAGAACCAGTGGCATCTACATCTGCAGAACGTGAAGAACCAGTGGTATCTACATCTGCAGAACGTGAAGAACCAGTGGCATCTACATCTATAGAACGTGAAGAACCACTGGCATCTACATCTGTAGAACGTGAAGAACAAGTGACATCTACATCTACAGAACATGAAGAACCAGTGGCATCTACATCTACAGAACATGAAGAACCAGTGGCATCTACATCTATAGAACATGAAGAACTAGTGGCATCCACATCTGCAGAACATCAAGAACCAGTGGCATCTACGTCTGCAGAACATGAAGAACCAGTAGCATCGACATCTGCAGAACGTGAAGAACCAGTGGCATCTACATCTACAGAACATGAAGAACCAGTAGCATCTACATCTGTAGAACGTGAAGAACAAGTGACATCTACATCTACAGAACATGAAGAACCAGTGGCATCTACATCTACAGAACATGAAGAACCAGTGGCATCTACATCTATAGAACATGAATAACTAGTGGCATCCACATCTGCAGAACATCAAGAACCAGTGGCATCTACGTCTGCAGAACATGAAGAACCAGTAGCATCTACATCTGCAGAACGTGAAGAACCAGTGGCATCTACATCTACAGAACATGAAGAACCAGTAGCATCTACATCTGCAGAACGTGAAGAACCAGTGGCATCTACATCTGCAGAACATGAAGAACTAGTGGTATCTACATCTGCAGAACGTGAAGAACCAGTGGCATCTACATCTGCAGAACGTGAAGAACCAGTGGCATCTACATCTATAGAACGTGAAGAACCACTGGCATCTACATCTGTAGAACGTGAAGAACAAGTGATATCTACATCTACAGAACATGAAGAACCAGTGGCATCTGCATTTACAGAACATGAAGAACCAGTGGCATCTACATCTATAGAACATGAAGAACCACTGGCATCTACATCTGTAGAACGTGAAGAACAAGTGACATCTACATCTACAGAACATGAAGAACCAGTGGCATCTACATCTACAGAACATGAAGAACCAGTGGCATCTACATCTATAGAACATGAAGAACTAGTGGCATCCACATCTGCAGAACATCAAGAACCAGTGGCATCTACGTCTGCAGAACATGAAGAACCAGTAGCATCTACATCTGCAGAACGTGAAGAACCAGTGGCATCTACATCTACAGAACATGAAGAACCAGTAGCATCTACATCTGCAGAACGTGAAGAACCAGTGGCATCTACATCTAAAGAACGTGAAGAACCAGTGGCATCTACATCTGTAGAACGTGAAAAACCAGTGGCATCTACATCTACAGAACACGAAGAACCAGTAGCATCTACATCTGCAGAACGTGAAGAACCAGTGGCATCTACATCTAAAGAACGTGAAGAACCAGTGACATCTACATCTACAGAACGTGAAGAACCAGTGGCATCTACATCTACAGAACGTGAAGAACCAGTGGCATCTACATCTGCAGAATATAAAGAACCAGTGGTATCTACATCTCCAGAACACGAAGAACCAGTGGCATCTACATTTGCAGAACATGAAGAACCAGTGGTATCTATATCTGAGATATAGACATACATAGAGATACATAAAGATACAGAGACTCATCGGGACTAATATAGATCAGATTCCGAATATTTATACTGGAGGAATCCGATACATCTCTCTGTCACAGACGGAAGATCAGATCGTCACAAAATCAAACAGTACAAAAAAAGACACGATCAGTTATAGGCAAGGTAAAGACATCACTTTAAAAACACATATACAACAAAACTCTAGATTTACTTTTGTATGTTACGAGGGTGAGGCCGACTGAGCCAAGTGGCTTCTTTAACAACAGCGACCTGCGGGCTAAGTTCGCCCCTAGGCCCCGGCTGGCCGGCTCAACATGTAGCTGAGAGGTCATCTCTTGAGTGGAGTGGAGTGAGTGGAGTGGAGTGAGTGAGTGGGGTGAGTGAGTGGGGTGAGTGAGTGAGTGGGGTGAGTGAGTGAGTGAGTGGAGTGAGTGGGGTGGGTGAGTGGAGTGAGTGGGGTGAGTGAGTGAGTGAGTGGAGTGAGTGGAGTGAGTATGGTGAGTGAGTGGGGTGAGTGGGGTGAGTGGAGGGAGTAGAGTGTGGTGAGTGAGTGGGGTGAGTGGGGTGAGTGGAGGGAGTAGAGTGGGGGTGAGTGAGTGGGGTGAGTGAGTGAGTGAGTGAATGGAGTGAGTGAGTGGGGTGAGTGGGGTGGGTGAGTGAGTGAGTGGAGTGAGTGGGGTGGGTGAGTGAGTGGGGTGGGGTGAGTAGAGTGGAGTGAGTGGGGTGAGTGAGTGAGTGAGTGGGGTGAGTGGAGGGAGTAGAGTGGGGTGAGTGAGTGGGATGAGTGAGTGAGTGAGTGAGTGGGGTGAGTGAGTGAATGAGTGAGTAGAGTGAGTGAGTGGGGTGAGTGAGTGGAGTGAGTGAGTGGGGTGAGTGAGTGGGGTGAGTGAATGAGTGAGGTGAGTGAGTGGAGTGAGTGGGGTGAGTGGAGTGAGTGAGTGAGTGGGGTGAGTGAGTGAGTGAGTGAGTGAGTGAGTGGGGTGAGTGAGTGAGTGAGTGGGGTGAGTGAGTGGAGTGAGTGAGTGGAGTGAGTGAGTGGGGTGAGTGAGCGGGGTGAGTGAATGAGTGAGGTGAGTGAGTGGAGTGAGTGGGGTGAGTGGAGTGGAGTGAGTGAGTGAGTGGAGTGAGTGAGTGGGGTGAGTGAGTGGGGTGAGTGGAGTGAGTGAGTGGGGTGTGTGAGTGAGTGAGTAGGGTGAGTGAGTGGGGTGAGTGGAGTGAGCGAGTGAGTGGGGTGAGTGAGTGGAGTGAGTGAGTGGAGTGAGTGAGTGAGTGGGGTGAGGTGAGTGAGTGGGGTGAGTGAGTGGGGTGAGTAAGTGAGGTGAGTGGGGTGAGTGAGTGAGTGGGGTGAGTGACTGAGTGAGTGAGTGGGGTGAGTGAGTAGGGTGAGTGAGTGAGTGAGTGGAGTAAGTGAGTGGAGTGAGTGAGTGGGGTGAGTGGGGGGTGAGTGAGTGGAGTGAGTGAGTGGGGTGAGTGGGGTGAGTGGGGTGAGTGAGTGGAGTGAGGTGAGTGAGTGGAGTGAGTGGGGTGAGTGAGTGGAGTGAGTGAGTGGGGTGAGTTAGTGGGGTGAGTTAGTGGGGTGGAGTGAGTGAGTGGGGTGAGTGAGTGTGGTGAGTGAGTGGAGTGAGTGAGTGAGTGGAGTGAGTGAGTGGGGTGAGTGAGTGAGTGGGGTGAGTGAGTGGGATGAGTGAGTGGAGTGAGTGAGTGAGTGGGGTGAGTGAGTGGGATGAGTGAGTGGGGTGAGTGAGTGAGTGAGTGGAGTGAGTGAGTGGAGTGAGTGGGGGGTGAGTGGAATGAGTGAGTGAGTGGAGTGAGTGGGATGAGTGAGTGGGATGAGTGAGTGAGGTGAGTGGAGTGAGTGAGTGGAGTGGATGAGTGGGGTGAGTGAGGTGAGTGAGTGGAGTGAGTGAGTGGGGTGTGTGGGGTGGAGGGAGAAATCCTCGCAGCGAAACCTCCACACGTGTTGAACCCTCGTATGAATCGACACATCAAGAGAGAGGAGAGAGAGATGAGTTGTGTGTCTACGAAGAAAGTATCACAGATTGATTTTGTTGCACAACGGGAAAACACGTAAACTCTTTCGTTTAAACATAAAGCAAAGCATCGGAAAAAAACCCAAAAAACGAAATGATGAACGAAGCAAAGTGCCGACTAAACGGAGCATCTTCTTGATTCCTCTGATGATAAAACAGACAGAGGAGAGGGGAGAGAGGAGAGAGAGAAACTCATCCAACACGGCGAACCGGTCACGGTCTTTGTCGACAAACTACCAACTCACTTGGCGGTGTGTGGGAGCCTCTCCCGACTTACCTGTCCGCTCGCCCGTCTCCTCGACTCCCCAAATCGTAGCCCCCCTTCACTGGTAGCTAAGCCAGCTTCAGGGCACGTAAATCTCTTAGCAGGACCACCACAACCACCACCACCACGGATCTACTCTCAGCCAACGCCGCAAATCTTCATCCCATTGCCAATCGCGTCCCGTCACGAATCCTGGGACATTTTTGTTTTGAAAAAAATAAAAAAGTATTTTTGTTCACAAACCACACAGAGAGACTTTTAACACACACACACACAGAGAGACACAAATACAAATAGACAACGCACTTATTTAAGTGAGGATGGCGGGCGGGGTGGGTGGGGAAGGCGTTGTTATCCTATAGGAGAGTCCCACATATTGTGGTTTTGTTGGTGGTGGTTGTGGTTGGTGGTGGTGGTTGTGGTTGGTGGTGGTTCTGCTCGGGTTTTTGGCCGTGACAAACCCGTGGCTTCCACCCCACCCCTCCACCACCACCCCTCCACCACCACGCCCACAGACACACACACAAAAAGAGTGTCCGTGCTGATTCCTCTGTTGCGAACAGCAGGTGCGACTTCTTCTTAAATAGATGCCGCTGCTGCTGCCTCTGTGTATTTGTGGGAGGTGATGGGAGGGGGTGGAAGACAATGATGTCCCCATCCCCCCATCTCGTGTCGCCTCTGCCCTGTCACCTCGCATCGCTCGCTTTGCTGGGTCTCTGCCGTGCCTTTAAAAAGAGCGTGACCTGCGGTAACGTGGCCTGCCGTAGCGTGGTGTCGGTGCGTGGTTGGGGCGGGGGGTAGGGGTTGAACTGGCTAACATTAGAACGGTGCGCGTGTGTGGGGTGTGTAGTGTGATGTGTGGTGTGTGAGTGAGTGTTGTGTGTTTTTTAGGTGGTGTGGGTGAGTGGTGTGTGAGTGGTGTGTAGTGTGGTGTGTAAGTGAGTGTTGTGTGTGTGGTGTGTGAGTGGTGTTGGTTGTGTGTGTGGTGTGGTGTGTGAGTGGTGTGTGTGGTGTGTGAGTGAGTGTTGTATGTTTTTTAGGTGGTGTGGGTGAGTGGTGTGTGAGTGGTGTATAGTGTGGTGTGTGAGTGAGTGTTGTGTGTGTGGGGTGTGTGTGGGGTGTGTGAGTGGTGTGTAGTGTGGTGTGTGTGTGGTGTGTGAGTGGGGTGTGTGTGTGGGCGAGTGGTGTGTGTGTGGTGTGTAGTGTGGTGTGTGAGTGGTGTTGGTTGTGTGTGTGGTGTGTGAGTGAGTGTTGTGTGTGTGACTGGTGTGTGTGGGTGTGTAGTGTGGTGTGTGAGTGGTGTGTGAGTGGGATGGGTGTGGTGTGTGAGTGGTGAGTGAGTGGTGTGTGTATGTGTGGGGGGCGGTGTGAGTGGTGAGTGAGTGGTGTGTGAGTGGTGTGTGTGTGGGGTGTGTAGTGTGGTGTGTGGGGGTGTGTGAGTGGTGTGTGAGTGGTGTGGTGTGAGTGAGTGTTGTGTGTGTGAGTGGTGTGTGTGAGGTGTGTAGTGTGTGTGTGTGGTGTGTGAGTGGTGTGGACGTGGTGTGTGAGTGGTGTTAGTTGTGTGAGTGGTGTGTGAGTGGTGTGTGAGTGAGTGGTGTGTGAGTGGTGTGTGTGTGTGGTGTGTGAGTGGTGTGTGAGTGGTGTGTGTGTGGTGTGTGAGTGGTGTGTGGTGTGTGAGTGGTGTGTGCGTGGTGTGTGAGTGATGTGGTGTGTGAGTGGTGTGTGAGTGGTGTGTGAGTGGTGTGTGAGTTCTGTGTGAGTGGTGTGTGAGTGGTGGGAGTGGGGTGTGTGAGTGGTGTGTGAGTGGTGTGTGTGCGTGGTGTGTGAGTGGTGTGGTGTGAGTGGTGTGTGAGTGGTGTGTGTGAGTGGTGTGTGTGGTGTGTGAGTGGTGTGTGAGTGGTGTGTGTGGGGTGTGTGAGTGAGTGGTGTGTGGTGTGTGAGTGGTGTGTGTGAGTGGGGTGTGTGTGGTGTGTGTGGGTGTGTGGTGTGTGAGTGGTGTATGAGTGGTGTGTGAGTGGTGTGTGAGTGGTGTGTGTGAGTGGTGTGTGTGGTGTGGAGTGAGTGGTGTGTGAGTGGTGTGAGTGGTGTGTGTGAGGTGTGTATTAGTGTTGTGTGTGTGTATTAGTGTGGTGTGTGTGTGTGCTGTGTGTGTGTGTGAGTGATTACGATAGGTCCTCGCTAACAGCACTTGCCCCAACAGTCTCTTCAGGCCGTAGGGGACCCGAGTTCGATTCCCGCTCACGGCTACCAACACCAGTGACGATTATCTGAACCGGTCCTGAGCCACCCCGAGTTAGACTCGACTTCAAATGAGTGCGGGGCCTGTAGAATATGATGTTATAAATGGGCACTAAATAAAAAATAAAACACGTAAATATTAAAACACACTTGCTTAACTTGCACAGTAAAGTAATTGTATTTTTGCATTTTCTATACGGCCAGATACTACGACAAATTGCTAACCTTAAACAGACGGTCGTTCGTAAAAGTTGAAGGCGGTATAGGACTATAGTAATAGAGCAAGTGCAGAATCACTGAACCGGAATTGATAGCTTGAAAGCATTTAGCGCGGGGCCCTTGAAAGTGCGGGGCCTGTAGCTACTTCATATGTACGTAGTAGCTACTACTACACATGTAGCTACTACACGTGTAGCTACTACTACATAAGTAGCTACTACTACACATGTAGCTACTACACGTGTAGCTACTACTACATAAGTAGCTACTACTACACGTGTAGCTACCACTACATAAGTAGCTACTACTACACATGTAGCTACTACACATGTGTAGCTACTACTACATATATAGCTACTACTACACATGTAGCTACTACACATGTGTAGCTACTACTACATATGTAGCTACTACTACACATGTAGCTACTACACATGTGTAGCTACTACTACACATGTAGCTACTACACATGTAGCTACTACACATGCTACTGGGATAATCCGGCACTGGTACCTGTGTGTAGTAAACATCGCCACTGGGGAGACAAAGGCGGCCGGGCGTGGTGCTGGCCACCCACCCCCTCGTGTGATGTTCCGGCCTTCATAGGTGCTGCTCGCTAACAGCACTTGCCCCAACAGCATGTTGAGGCTACACGGGGTATCTTTGTCTTTGGGAAATACATTTATATGCGTGGCCTCAAAGTGCACCTAGCCTGGCACGGCACGGACGTGTGTGTGTGTGTGTGTACGTGGAATCTCCTTCGCACCGTACGTAGCGAACCGTGCTAATCGAAGAGGAAGAACGACAAACGGAACACAACAACAACAGTGGGGAGCGGTGGCGCAGTGGTTAGCGCAATGCACTACGAACCCGGCGAGACAGCTACAGAATGGCAGAGACACATAGACCTTCAGAGACACCTATAGGATCACGCCTATAGAATCACAGAGACCCATAGACTTACAGAGACACCAATAGGATCACACCTATAGAAACACCGAGACCCATATAATTACAGAGTCACCTATAGACTCATAGAGACCCATAGACTTCTAGAAAAACCTATAGAATCATAGAGACCCATAGACTTACAGAGACACCTATAGACTCACAGAGACCCATAGACCTTCAGAGAAACCTATAGGATCACACCTATAGAATGACATAGAGACCCATAGACTTACAGAGACACCCATAGAATCACAGAGACCCATAGACTTACAGAAACACCTATAGACTCACAGAGACCCATAGACTTACATAGACACCTATAGACTCACAGAGACCCATAGCCTTACATAGAAACCTATAGAATCATAGAGACCCATAGACCTACAGAGAAACTTACAAAATCACAGAGACCCATAGACTTACATAGACACCTATAGACTCACAGAGACCCATAGACTTACAGAGAAACCTATATAATCATAGAGACCCATAGACTTACAGAGAAACCTATAGAATCATAGAGACCCATAGACTTACAGAGAAACCTATAGAATCACAGAGACCCATAGACTTCTAGAGACACCTATAGACTCATAGAGACCCATAGACTTACAGAGACACCCATATAATTCCAGAGTTCCATAGACTTACATAGACACCCATAGAATCACAGAGACCCATAGACTCACAGAGACCCATAGACTTACATAGACACCTATAGACTCACAGAGACCCATAGACTTACATAGACACCCATAGACTCACAGAGACCCATAGACTTACAGAGACAAATATAAAATGATACGGAGACCCATAAATCATCAGTCGCGAAATGTTTGGAAACGTGACGTAGATGGGAGGGGCGGGGTGAGTTGATGGGGGGTGGGGGGGCGAGTTTGGGGGGGTGGGGGGGCGAGTTTGGGGTGTGGGGGCATCAGCCTCATTGAGCCAAATTAAGACGCACGGGAGGAATTTCAGAGTTCCGAGTGAACTCCCGCGGCTCGAGGAGACGGAGGCAGGAGACGGAGCGAGGAGACGGAGCGAGGCGCGCGAGGAATCCAAACGCGGATGTCCCTCAATCCCCGAAGTGCCAATGTTTGGTCTGCGTTAAAAATATGCAGCACACAGACAAAGGTCCCCCGTGTAGCCTCCGCACGCTGTCGGGGGCAAGTGCCGTCAGCGAGCGGCACCTATGAAGGCCGGAGGGGCACACGGAAGGGAATGGGCGGTCAGCACCACGCCCGGCCGCCTTTGTCTCCCGGACCGAGTGGATAAAATTGTAAACGTTGTGGTTTTACGCTTCAACACACCGGTGGGGACTAAAGCAGTGAACTATTTTGTCTTTTAATTTTCGATTTAAAGCTTTCGTGACTGCAGGGATTCATCTTCTTGGTTCTTTCGGTAAAGTCACGTAGAATGGAAATAATAAAATAATAAAAGTAAAACATAATAAAATACAATTCTCACGACGTTTCGGCCACAACGCAAGCAGCCGTCCTCAGGTGAAGAACAGGTCTGTCGAGAAGACAGCGTATTTTGTCTTTTATCAACATGACACTTTTTGTTTGCTGATTGGCCGTGTCGGGTGGTGGAGGGTTACGACACATTTATAAATAATAACGCGATCTCACTCACAAAAACGTTGATTATGAACGAGTGGATAATGTTTACACGCCGCACCACGTGCTCATTTTAGGCTGAGTCGACCTAGGGGAGGCACACCATACACACACGCATAGAGAGACAAAGTTGGGATGACCCTGCTGAGGCTGCGGTGCCTCAAATATTGGAAGAAGTCATCCCCTGTGAGTGGCTGGCTGAGGTGCCAGCTGTTGAGGAAGTACTGAGGGCGATCCGGAGTCTGAGACCAGGAAAGGCACCGGGCAGAGATGATCTCCCAA